ATGTCATCATTCACCTATAAAGCTAACCAAAACTTTAAACAGACTTATTCACAAGGGTTATAATTAAAGATACTGTTATCACGTCATTAAAGACAGCATTTTTAAAAAAAAAAATATTGATTCACTCATAGGGTCTTTGCATCAGAAATGAACACATTTTTCTAAAACCAGTTGTTGACATGATACAGGTTATGTTCTTTTCATATAATTTATGATGGCATGATACTAACCCCTAACGGGAGGGATTGTGTTTGATTTTCATATAATGAAGCCATAATCTTTTGATCAGTTTAAGGTAGATCATAAGTATATACTTTTTGAGATAGAATTTTCTTATACTTTGCCAAAAGGAAGATTTTACTATGCTTTTTTCAAAAATATAATAAAAAGTATGGGTCACCGTGCTATTTTCCAAGCTATGAGTGTAAATTTGGTTAGATTGTTCATGAAAAAACACATTTGTGTGCATAAAAAAAATTCTATGAGATAGAATTTTGAAATAAATTGTAAGAAGATAGGTTTTATAATATGTTTTAAGAAAATAAAAAGAAAAGATGGTGTCACCTAACTTGTTTTCTTGCTACATGTAAAAATTAAAAATTTCTCTATCAGTCCAGTATATATTTTTTACTAAAAGAGTTATCTCCCCTTAAATGGCTTATTTGAAAGAAATGATTCTAAAACACAAAATTTGATTTTGTTTAAATATTTTGAATAATACAATAAATCACCAAGTTTTCTTCATATAAATAAACAGTCTAACCATTAAATTGCAAATCTGTCTCCAAATTTGCAGATTTGGGCAAATAACTAGACCATTTTTGTACTGAGATTGTACAATCCAAGATGGTGGTATACCATGAATCTACCTTAAATGAGGTCTTGAGCTGGCTTGTCAGTACATTGTAACTACTAGTAGTCCTTTGTTAATTTATGTTGACCATTTTCAGCTTGTTAGTATGTTCTGTTACCTTTTCTAATATCGGACCAGGACTTCTTTTAAACTGAGTTTCACTGTGCATATTGCTGTGTGTTTGTTTATTCCACATTGGCTAGAGGTACATATAAATGAGGAGGATTGAGATCTCACAAAACATGTTTAACCCACCACATTTTTGCGCTTGTCCCAAGTCGGGAACCGCTAGCCTTTGTTAGTCTTGTGTGTTTTTTTTAGAATTACATGTATGGTTCATTTATATGTTTCAGAGTTTAGTATGATGTCCATTTCGCTGTATACATTATAGTGTTTAGGGGCAGCTGTAGCCAGCTTCTGTGGGGTTCCTACCTCCTGAACACCGCTCTGGATCTGCCAATGGTTCCAGGATGGTATCCCTGCTACACTATCCCACTATGAATTGTAATATGTTTATACAGGTGAAAATAAGCAATAAAAGCTCATGTTTATTTTTGCCTCTGAGCATATAATTAGCTTTTTTGAACTCAATAAATGTGCAGTTTGGAGAGCATCAGTTGGCAGTGCCAGCTTTTTACTTGTGTTTTATCTGCTTTGCCATAAAACGGGACAAAGACATTGCCATCATAATCTTCTGTGAGCTGTTTTATTACCTGCTGTTACAATGTCTTATCAACTCTTCAACCATGATAATTAATCAGCTAAAATTTATATTGTGATATATATACATTTTTGTACAAACATGTATTAATTGTAGTTACGACTTAGTTTGCCAGTCATTATTAAGTGACCACCTCATACATTGTAGTTTTTACTTGATACATGTATTTGTACTGTAGGAGTAAGTTTTTAATCTGATGTGTTGTGTTTCTTATTATACAAAAAGGTACTGTATGGTTAAAAAACTGTGTTCTACATGTAAGTAGTCTATGTACCCTCTTCTGACAAATGTAAAATGAATGAGGAAGTTTCAGTAATTGAAATGTATAACACCAGAACCTGTATAAAAAAAAGGAGATTAATTCTGACTGTGTAAAAGGGTGACATGTTTTGAAATGTGACTCTCCCTAAAAAAAATCTTACTTACAGACCCTCATGGGCATACAATACAGTTACAGGGGAGGTAATGAGGTTGCTAACGTAAAATGTTATTTTTCTTGATGTCAAACTGTAAAATATTGGGAATACACATGTAGATGTATTTTTCGACTGATTATTATCATAAGCTCGAAAACTAGTACATGTCCATGGACCCCTATTTTTTTAAAATAACATTTGGCTTGATTATGTATTAAAGATTATTTGTACCAATTTTTATGAACAAATCACCAATGATTTTTTTTTTAAATTAGATGAATATACAGAAAAAAATTCTGTTTTTTTTTTCTCAAATCATGAAAATTTAATAAAAATGAATTATTTCCGAAGAATTGTTACACAATTGTTTTTCTGATTCTAGTGTTTTTGCCTATTAACTTGAAAACAGAAACCTAACTGCAAAAAAAACTGTGTTTGTATTAAACTTGTTTTATGAGTACTCAACCCTAGTTTATACCATCTTGCACATAGGAAAATTTCTGTTGTAACTTGAGGAATTGTGCATGATTAAAATGATTTAATTGTTGAAATGGTGTTCATTTTCAATGCAATGGTTTTTTACTTGATTATTTCTGACAAAACCTACAAAAATGAACATTTAGACAACAAATTGCTAAAATAATCATACTTATAGACAAACTCTACTAGAATTCTTACAAACATGTAGATTAACCCCTGCTGAAAAACCTTTATTTTACCTGCAGGTCACTACATTGCAGAATCTTTTCCAGGTGGAACCCCTAAAACCTCACCCTATAAATAAAATCTGTGAAACAGTGCTGCAGCTCCTGTATAGTCTGTATAGCAAATTATGACTGTATATTTATAGCAAACAGAAATATAAGAATTGTACATCATAATAGGATAATGGACATCCCTAATACTTTTTACAAAGGTGCAAAATTCTCCAGTGTATTAACAATCCATATCTGGACATTGTCACAAATTATTAATCATTGATGAGGAAATGGTCAGGCTAGTTGTATATTGATATCGTATAGATCTAAGAAATTATGTCTGAGTCTGTTTTGATCATGACAACATGTAACGTTTTTCCAATATATAAAGATTACCTTCTTCAGGCCTCTACATTATCATTTCTTCTTACTTTTCCATTTGGACAAGTTACAGGAAAATCAACTTGTCTGAACTCTTACAGTCTTCCCGTCTTTGCTTCCCGATAAACTTTTGAATCAACAGGCTTGAAGCTGAATTTTACGAAAATTTTAGTTAAATTTTATTGGCCTGTAAAGATTATTTTTACAGGCCTTGTCAGGCCCAACATCAATTTTACAAGCCTGGGGTGGTGGGTTTGTGGTTGAGTGCAAAGACTGCTCTTAACTCACTTGCCCTAATCCAAAGTTACGAATCTTAAAATTGAAAATGGAAATGGGGAATGTGTCAAAGAGACAACAACCCGACCATAGAGCAGACAACAGCCGAAGGCCACCAATGGGTCTTCAATGCAGCGAGAAACTCCCGCACCCGGAGGCGTCCTTCAGCTGGCCCCTAAACAAATATGTATACTAGTTCAGTGATAATGGACGTCATACTAAACTCCAAATTATACACAAGAAACTAAAATTAAAAATGATACAAGACTAACAAAGGCCAGAGGCTCCTGACTTGGGACAGGCGCAAAAATGTGGCGGGGTTTAACATGTTTTTTGAGATCTCAACCCTCTCCCTATACCTCTAGCCAATGTAGAAAAAACAAACGTACAACAGTACGCACAGTAAAACTCAGTTTAAGAGAAGTCCCAGTCCGATGTTAGAATAGGAAACAAAAGAAAATAAACAAAATGACAATAATACATAAATAACAACAGACTACTAGCAGTTACTGACATGCCAGCTCCAGACCTCAATTAAACTGATTGAAAGATTATGTCTTCATCATATGAATATCAGGCACAATCCCTCCTGTTAGGGGTTTAGTATTATACCGTCATAAAATATATGAGAAGAACATAACCCGTGTCATGCCAACAACTGGTTTTAGAATAAATATGTTTAATTCCGATGCAAAGACCCTATAAGTGAATCAATATTAAAGCCAAAATATGCAATTTTTAATGAGCTGACAACAGTATCGTAACTATATCCCTTTTTAATAAGTCTGTTTAAAGGTTTTGTTCGCTTTTGAGGTGAATACTGACATTTTTGTGCTTTGTAAAGAATATTACCATAAAAGATTGGATGTGAAATACCCGAACGTATAAGATGTCTGCATGTTGAGTTATATTTACGAATGATGTCCTTATACCGATGATAAAATTTAGTAAATGTTTTGACTAGTTGCATATTGACAATGTGCACAGTGATACTTTGGGTGTTTAGCGTACCTGATGAAGGAAGTAATTTTTTGTGTTATATGATTTTGATTTTTGGTGTTTTAACGCCACTTTTAAGCACCGCTTTTGGGCTATTTCGTGGCGGCCAGTTTTTATTGGTGGAGGAAGCTGGAGTGCCCGGAGAAAACCATCGACTTTTGTTATATGAATTTGTCTGCAACTAAATAATGAATACTTTTTATACGACCGCAAAAATTAAAAAAATTTTGTTATACGATTGCAAAAATTAAATATTTTTTGGTTGTATATTGGTATCACGTTGAAGTCGTCGGCGTCGTCCGAAGACAGATGGTTTCCAGATAATAACTTTAGTATAAGTAAATAGAAATCAATAAAATTTTAACACAAGGTTTATAATCACTAAAAGATGGTTGGGATTGATTTTAAGGGTTATGGTCCCAACTGTTTAGGAATTAGGGGCCCAAATTAGCATTTTTGTAGTTTCCAGACAATAACTTGTGTTAAAGTGTATGAATCTCTCTGAAATTATACCACAAATTTCCATACTACAAAGGGATGGATAGGATTGACTTTGGGGGTTATGGCTCAAACCAATTAGTAATTAGGGGCCAAAAAAGGGGGAAAACAAGGGTTTTTGTCGAGCCTTCGACTTTTGTCGAAAAAGCGAGACATAGCGATCCTACATTCCGTCGGCGTCGTCGGCGGCGTCCACAAATATTCACTCTGTGGTTAAAGTTTTTGAAATTTTAATAACTTTCTTAAACTATCCTGGATTTCTACCAAACCTGGACAGAAGCTTGTTTATGATTATAAGATAGTATCCAGAAGTAAATTTTGTAAAAATAAAATATCATTTTTTCCGTATTTTACTTATAAATAGACTTAGTTTTTCTGCCGGGAAATATTACATTCACTCTGTGGTTAAAGTTTTTAAAATTTTAATAACTTTCTTAAACTATCCTGGGTTTGTACCAAACTTGGACAGAAGCTTGTTTATGATCATAAGATAGTATCCAGAAGTAAATTTTGTAAAAAAATAAATCCATTTTTTCCTTATTTTACTTTTAAATGGACTTAGTTTTTCTGCCAGGAAACAACACATTCACTCTGTGGTTAAAGTTTTTTAAAATTTTAATAACTTTCTTATACTATTTTGGATTTGTATCAAACTTGGACAGAAGCTTGTTTATGATCAAAAGCTAGTATCTAGAATGAAATTTTGTAAAAAAAGAAATCCATTTTTTCCGTATTTTACTTTTAAATGGACTTAGATTTTCTGCCAGGAAACAACACATTCACTCTGTGGTTAAAGTTTTTAGAATTTTAATAACTTTCTTATACTATTTTGGATTTGTACCAAACTTGGACAGAAGCTTGTTTATGATCAAATGCTAGTATCTAGAAGGAAATTTTGTTTTCTTCCAGTTGACATTACATTCAGTCTGCAGTAAGTTTTTAAACATTTATTAGAATCATAAATTATCCTGGATTTTTACCAAACTTCGACAGAAGCTTCTTACAATCAAAAGATAGTATCAAGAGGAATATTTTTATTGATTTACTTCCTCATTTTTGTTGATCCTGCGATTAACAGAAAAAGTAGGCGAGACACTGGGTTCCGAGGAACCCTTACGAATTTTTCTGGATAAAGGACAATTGAGACAATTTAAAAGCAGTGTAAGGGAGGTAATCCAACTCAATTAAAAGAACACTGTTTGATTACCTCCCTTACACTGCTTGTAAATTATGTATTAAGAAATGATGATTGTCTTTAGGTGATTAGCTGTCAATTTATTTTTAGCAGTTACTATTAATTAATATTAATTTTAGCCATGACTATGTATGACATTTTATATTTTAAAACTTTTATGATGTATTTAAATGGGTAATTATGGTTGCAAACTCCATTAGAAATTTGAATTGAGATACTGACCATATCTTGAGGGAAAGATTTTTTTTTTTTGGGAATAAGGGAAAGGGGGGAGGTGAAAAAAATTGGAGGGGGAGACAATTTTTCTCATTTCAGATTTCAGAAGTTAAAAGAAAATTTCTTCAAATATTTTTTTTTTCGGGGTTAATCTTCAACAGCATATTGTATTGCACAAAAGTAAAAAACCGGGGTAAAATTTTTTTTTTTTGGAGGGGGGGGCAATTCACAACAGCATAGTGTATTGCACAAAAGCAAAAAATTGATTATAAATTCAAATCATATAACCAATTTGAAGTTCTTTGACTACAGTTATTCTGTGTCAGAAACCTATTATGTGTCAAAAATTTAGTTACAATCCAAATTCAGACCTGTATCAAGCGTGAATATTGTGTCCATTTTGGCCCCAACTTTTCAGGGTTGGACATCTGCAGTGATATCAAGCTGCGCTCAGCGAAGCAATTTATTCTGTTTTATTATTTTCAAAGATTATTTGCCATTCCAAAGTAAGTTCTCTGACTCAATGTCACTATCCTGTGTGGAGTTTATGATGGATTCAATTATCATCACTACCTATATCATAGGGTTCTCTTATCAGTGTTCCAGCTAAAAACCTTGGGTAGAGGGGCACATTCTTATAAAAAGGACACTGTATGAGCGACTCATGTTTTAGGCATTTGAAAGTCTTGAAAGTTTGAAATGTTTTATAATTTTGATTTTTCACTTGTCCCGTCGGACACCTAATATGGTGATTCTACTTGTCCGACTCCTGTGTCCACTTGTCCCGAACATTAGGACAAACAGAAATGTAGAGCCCTGCTTCTTACATTCTTCTAATAGGAATCAGATATGTGTTTTTCACTACATGTCCATCTTTGAAAATTCCCAAGTTGTGTCTACATTAGACGAAACTTGGGGATCATATCTGAAAACAAGAAGGTAAACAAACAAGATTCTACTTTGAATATTAACTATCTCCTGAAAATGTGTGGGATGGGAACAGCTATGTAAAAAAAGTTAAACCTATACTCCTAATGTCTCTTATATTGTGATCTTGTTGATTTTAAGAAGCATTAGGACATGTATAAATTTACTAAAGTTGCCTTAGTGTCTTTAAGAGCAGTTATGACATAAATATACTACAATTGTCTTGGTGTCTTGAAGAGCAATTATGACATAAAAATATACTACAATTGTCTTGGTGTCTTTAAGAGCAGTTATGACATAAATATACTACAATTGTCTTGGTGTCTTTAAGAGCCATTATGACAGATATACTACAATTGTCTTGGTGTCTTTAAGAGCAATTATGACATAGATATATTTCAATTGTGTAGGTGTCTTTAAGAGCCATTATGACATAGATATACTGCAATTGTGTAGGTGTCTTTAAGAGCCATTATGACAGATATACTACAATTATCTTGGTGTCTTTAAGAGCAATTATGACATAAATATACTACAATTGTCTTGGTGTCTTGAAGAGCAATTATGACATACATATACTACAATTGTCTTGGTGTCTTAAAGAGCAATTATGACATAAATATAGTAGTAGTACAATTGTCTTGGTGTCTTTAAGAGCCATTATGAAAGATATACTACAATTGACTTGGTGTCTTTAAGAGCCATTATGACATAGATATACTACAATTGTCTTGGTGACTTTTAGAGCCATTATGACATAGATATATTGCAATTGTGTAGGTGTCTTTAAGAGCCGTTATGACAGATATACTACAATTATCTTGGTGTCTTTAAGAGCAATTATGACATAGATATATTACAATTGTCTTGGTGTCTTTAAGAGCAATTATGACATAGATATATCGGTACTACAATTGTCTTGGTGTCTTAAGGGGCCAATTTGACATAGATTTACAACTATTGTCTTGGTGTCTTTAAGAGCAAAGTATGACATAGATGTACTTCAATTGTCTTAGTGTCTTTAACCCCTTCGCCCCCAATCCCACCTGTAGTCGTGATGGCGACCACCATTCTTTGATGGCCTGTATGACCCTCCATACTTTTTATTTAGAACTGCCCCAGCTCAACTGTCTTTACAGCAGGGACTTCAACCATGCAATTCATGGTCCATAAAATCTTCTCAGATGTGTGATTATGAAAATATGGCAACTTTAATGACCTTTTTAGAGTTCAAAATCGGAAAAACTTGTAAAGCAGCCAAAATCAGGTGGGGGTGGGAGTCTTTTTATGGCCACTACGTTACTGGTATGGGCTGTAGGTATCAACTATTATCATAAATACATGCATAGATGGTACAGGAACACAAGGAGGTATAATATGGCCAAAAGAAATGTGGTCTGTAAAATCTAGGTCACCATTTTGTCTGAAATCGGTAAAAACCGACATTTAGGCATACTTGGCTAGCCAATTATAATTCCCAGCAAGATTCTCAAGTCACATTTACTTCCAGTCAGTATGAATAGACTGCTGTAACTGTAAGGTACTACTTGAATGACAAAGAAATACAGTTTAGTCAATGTTCACCTCTCAAGGTCGTATTAAAATCGAAAAATAGACTGAAAATGACAATTTTTCAGTAGGGGTGGGTTCTTACCCACCAGAAAATATACCACCTCCCACCCCAGCCCCTACCCATGCCATCCGCCCCCAAATCTCAATACATAGTTTAAGAGATCAACATCAGTTACAGCATCAAGAGTCTACTAATTTGCATAAGTTTGCAAATTTTCGAAAATGCCTGATTTTCCAGAAATCTCTTGGGGAGTTAAGCACCATTATGACATAGATGCATTAAAATTGTCTTTATGTCTATGGTGTTTTTGAGAGCCATGAGAACATATATTGTGTCGTAGTTGTATTAAAAAATTATCCGCATGTCTTTAAGAACCATTAAACCTAGATGTACTGCAGTAGTCCTAGTGTCTTTAAGAACCATTATGACATTGGTTATGTCATAGATGAACTACAATTTATCATGTTGTCTATAAGAACTGTAAAAACATAGATGTACTACAGTTGTCTTCTTCAAGAGCCATCAGTACATAGATATACTACAAAAGTCTTGGTGTCTGTTAGTGCCATTAGAACATATGTTACGTGATAGATGTACTACATTATAATCCTTGGGTCTTAAAGAACCATTAGATGTACTACAGTAGTCTCTGTATTTTTAAGAGTCATTAGGACATTTGTACTACAATTGTCTCGGTGTCTGTAAGAGCCATTAGAACATATGTTACGTGATAGATGTACTACATTATAATCTTTGTGTCTTAAAGAACCAATAGATGTACTACAGTAGTCTCTATTTTTAAGAGTCATTAGGACATTTGTACTACAATTGTCTTGGTGTCTGTAAGAGCCATTAGAACATATGTTACGTGATAGATGTACTACATTATAATCTTTGTGTCTTAAAGAACCAATAGATGTACTACAGTAGTCTCTGTATTTTTAAGAGTCATTAGGACATTTGTACTACAATTGTCTTGGGTGTCTGTAAGAGCCATTAGAACATATGTTACGTGATAGATGTACTACATTATAAAGAGCCATTAGGACATAGATGTACTACAGTAGTCTCTGTATTTTTAAGAGCCATTAGGACATTTGTTATATCATTGATGTACTACAATTTAATTCAGGTTTCTTTTTACAAGAATCTTTAGGACATAGATGTACTACTGTAGTCTTGGTGTCTTTAAGAAACGTTTGGACAAGTATTTTGTCATACAGGTACTACAATATAATCCTGGTGTCTTTAAGAACCTTTAGGACATAGATGCACTACGATAATCTTGGTGTCTTTAAAAGCCATTATGACATAGATTAACTACAATAATCTTGGTGTCTTTAAGAGCCATTAGAACATAGATTCACTATAGTCAATGGACAGTCTTCTTGGTGTCTTTAATAGCCGTTTGGACATATATATTATGTCATAGATGTACTACAATGTAATCTTTGTGTCCTTAAGACACAGTCTTTATGTGTTATTAAGCTGCCATTATATACACACAGAATGTCCTGAATAAATAAGTAACAATCATCTCTTACATTTAATGCAATTGTTCAAATGATTTTGATATATATATATATAAAGGAGATGTGGTATGATTGCCAATGAGACAACTATGTTTATGGTAATGTATACAGATTATAGTTTTGTGCTATTATAAAGAATTTACAATAGACAGTAATTTACAGTAAACTTTGTGGTAAAGCTTTAGTCTGTCAGTTAAGTGTTCTAAATGGCTTTATAAATGTGCTAGTCAAATGCTTCAGAATGGTTTTAAAATTTTGCAAATGTCTGAGATAGAAATATATTTCAAATAATCTATGAAAATGAAGAAAATTATTACTAATTGACTCTCAGTTGGTAAAAGGAGATATTTGTGCAGTTTGTAATTAAGAAAGAATTCAGTTACTTCTCAGGAGGGGATTAGGTTCAAATTAACAATAGAAATGAAACTTTTTATTAAAGAAGGTAAAAAATGACCAAGTTGGCATAATTGGATTGTATAGGTTAACTTATGTTTCTATGGTCATTACAAAAGTAGATCTAAAAGTTCAATGAAGCTGTATAATTTAACATTAAATGTATGTTAGACACAAATTATTGAATGAAGATATTAAAATTATATACCAGAAATGCATATTTAATTAAAGACAAACTGTTACAAAACAACTGATTTTGGTAGGTGCAAATCATTTGGACCTTGAAAAATTCCATTAAACAAATTTCCATGGAAAGATAAAAGATTGATATGTTAAAAGCATTATTAATTAATTTGCATCTCTGTCCATGACAAAAAGTATTTGATTTTTTCTCTCTCCTGAAAATGAGTATTAATGATTATAGAGAAATAGTCAGGTACATCTTTTACATTCAGGCATTGGTGAGCCTGATGCTTTGTTTTACAAGCAATCATCTATATAGCTCAAGACACTTTGTAAGTTACTGGTATAAAGAAAAAAAATACTAACAATTAATTGCAAATATTAAAAGTAAGCAGTCAAAATTGTATTTTACATTTAAAAAAATTCTGAATCAAAATGATATAGACATTTTGCCAGCTAGCTTGTTTGAATTAGTTTGTTTATTTTCCTATTGACCAGGTTGTATAACTGATATTGACAAAATAATGGTTACTCATCTGATTTGTATCACATTGTACAGGTGATACCTAACAATTCAATATTGATATGTGTGTGTAACACATGTCACAATTATTTATTAAAAAATGCAGAAGAAATCCAAAGGAATATATAAGATGATGTAAATTTCTCGGCGTCTGTCTGTATCCTACAATTTTAAATGACTGATCTCATTTCTGTTTCTTGTTCAGTGTTAGTCGTCTTGGCAACAAAATATTGATTTGTGAAGTCCAAACAGAGCTTTCATTCTCTCTAGCATTTTATTGATGCCGATTCTATAGATTTTTTTCGACAACTGACTGCATGTATAAATATTAAATTTAACCATGAATGAAGTGCATGAGTTTTCCTGAAATATGAATATTGTGCAAATGTACTTTTGCAGTTTTACATGTATGGATTAATTTGGAATCCAATGTATCTATTCTTTGACTTAATTAACATTGGATTCCTAGCAATGATAATTAAGAAATTCAGTTCTATGTAGAGTTTTACTATAAGGATAGTCTTTTCTAAATGTAAAAGCTTCAACAACCCATGTGTGGGTGGGGATGGGTCTTTAAGCAGTAATAATAAGGTGTTAAATATGTGTGGAGTTTTAACTAAAAAAAAACCCTTCTTATATCATTCAGCAAATATGACTAGTATTTCATATCATTATTGACTCTTATGCATTCCCACTATATCCTATGTGTTCCTAGGGATAAACATTTCCTAACTCAAAGGGTTTTGGTTAAGGAAGATGATCAATGATGGTGTATAAGTGACTTTTTACATAGAAATAACTTATCACTAAAATTACAGTATTGATAAAATTCATTGATTTAACTAATATCAGTACATCATGAAATTGTTTTTTGAAGTGATGTCATTTTTATATGACCGCAAAAAAAAACAAACTTTAGTTTAAGTGAATGGATCTCTATGAAATTTTACCATAAGGTTCAATACCACAAAAGGAAGGTTGGGATTGATTGAGGGGGTTATGGTACCAACAGTTAAGGAATAAGGGGCCAAAAAAGGGCCCAAATAAGCATTGTTCTAGTTTCCAGACAATAACTTGTGGAACCGTGTATGAATCTCTCTGAAATTATACCACAAGTTTCCATACCACAAAGGGATGGTTAGGATTGACTTTGGGGGTTATGGCTCAAACCGTTTAGGAATTAGGGTCAAAAAAGGGGGAAAAACAATGGTTTCCTGGTTTATGGACAATTTAAAAGCAGTGTAAGGGAGGTAATCCAAATACATTTAAAGTATTAAAAATCAAAAAAAATAGATTACCTCCCTCACATTGCTTTTAAATTATGTATAAAGGTGTTGTATTGTCTTGAGGTGATTAGCTGTCAATTAATTTTTAGAAGTTACTACTAAAGGAATATTAATTTTAGCCATGATTATGTATGTCATTTTCTATTTTAAGACCTTTATGATGTATTTAAATTGGTAATTATGGTTGCAAACTCCATTGAAAATTTTAATTGAGATCATGACCATATCTTGATGGAAAGGATTTTTTTTTTGGAAAAGGGGGGGGGGGGGGGGGGGGGGGGGGAAGGTGAAAAAAAAATTGGGGGGCGGGAGTAAAAAAGAAATTGGTGGGGGGGGGGGGGGGCAATTTTTTCTCATTTCAGATTTCAGAAATTAAAAAGAAAATTTCTTCTTTTGCAAAATAAAGGGGAGGGTTCAATACGCAACAGCATGGTGTATTGCACAAAAGCAAAAAATTGAAAATAAATTCAAATCATATAATCAATTCAAAGTTCTTTGACTACAGTTATTCTGTGTCAGAAACCTATTATGTGTCAAATGTTTAATTACAATCCAAATTCAGACCTATATCAAGCGCAAATATTGTGTCCATTTTTTCCCCAACTGTTCAGGGATGGACCTCTGCGGTCGTATCAAGCTGCTCTCAGCGAAGCATTTTATTAATAACATAATTATAGGTTTGTTTACTAATTATAAAAAACTTCCAAAGCTCTTTATTTTATTAGAAAATTAGATTATAAAGCATGACTTAGGTATGCTGTTTATGACCGCGTTGGCTAATGTATTTGTTTATGGGGAACCACTAGAGGTAGGTCAATGATATTTGGTATACAAGTGTATACGCATCGGCACACCTCATTTCCAAGAAGACTATTTGAACCTGCCCCCTCAGTCATGCATGGTCTATTGACTTTGAAACTTTTGCTTACTTAACATATATTAGTATGTGATTAGGTCAGTCTAAAGGAAACCACTAGTAATCATGGTAATAGGTCAATGATGTTTGGTATGCAGTTGTATTAGAATTGGCACATCTCATTCCCATGGAGATTTATTTGCCCCACCCCCTCAGTCAGTCCATTGAGATTATTTGCTCCTGCACCTTAAGTCATGGTTCATTGACTTTGAATGTTTTGCATAGTTTACATGTTTAAATATTGCCCTTTGGATTCAATATGTGTATACTATCAAAATTACAAAAAGGTGAGACATATCTCTGTCAACAGTTTATTGTTACATGTAATTGTGTATTTTAAGTTTCTTTTATCTAACCATTTCTGCAAAATCTTCCTTGAAAAGTTAAAAAAAAAAATAAAAGATATCAAAGTTAGCAAGAAACGAAACATTCATAACTTAAACAAAGGTATAATTGTATATTACTTAAAAAAATGCATTTAATACAGTATAAAATTTTAGCCTTAAGTAATTATGTAAATATGTTGCTATTAATTTTGACATTTTGCCTCTAAACTGTTAAGCTGGTACATGTAGTATATGACTGCTAGTAAACATACTGTTATGGTGTTAATATATAAAGCTCTAGGAAATGTTATCAACATTCACACAAAAGATGTCATTTTGAAAATATGTACAAGTTAGAATAACTCCAGGCATAAAATAGGGAGACTGTAAATTAAAGGAGATGTAGGTTAAAGAAAAAAGCAACAGCAACCCAGCAACATAAAAACACCAAAAGATATCAGTGAAAGGTTTGTTTCTCTACAAATTGAAAATTTAAACAAAACTTTTATTTATAGTAGATGTTTGTTTGTTTGATTGTTTAACACTTGTTTATATGCAATAATGGAATTTTCAAGAATTAAACAAGATATTGGAATATATTAGATTGATTGATGATAGGTTAATGTAGCATCAGATAACTTTGGGTATGTTGCAGCGAGAATAAATTTTGTCATTATTGCATAATCAAAATTAACATAAAAGACCCATTACATAGATAAAATTATTGTTAAAATCAATATTATACTATTCATATATATATTAAGGAAACCATTGTTCTATATGAAATAAAAACTTCTAAACTTAACACAGATACTCTGGATTGATTATTTTTCTTTGGATACAATTTTTCATTGATTTCATTTGAATAGTTAACCCATGAATTTGAATGTTCCAACAAAGTACACCTTTTATACAGGTTTGTATCCAGACTTTGACAAAGCCATGAAATAAAAAATCCACAAAATAAAATTTTTACTGAATCCACGAAAATTGGTACTCAGGAAAATAAAAAGAACCCACAGTATTTGATATCATTAGTTCAGAAGACACATGTTTAAGGTCAGTGTATACACTGAGGTTAGGGTTAGTATCACTATGATCTTATAGGAACCTTTCATATCCATATCTAGGTATTTTTATGAACTCTCCTTTATTTTTCAGCTGGACAATGCAGATGAGCAAGCAGCGCAAGTACGAAGGGAACTTGATGGAAGACTGCAATTAGTAGAACAAATGGCAAGGGTATGTTACAATTAAGTATACATATGAAATTACATAACCTGGTAACGAAAAGATAAAAGGATAACTAATATCATATTCCTTAAAGTAGTGGAATAATTCAAGGGAAAATAGTGAGCATACCAGGCAGTATGGTACTTAACCTTTCACTTTATTTGAGGGATTAAAAAAAGCACAATCCAAACAGTGTAATAGAAATTTTTCGTGACAAGATTATGTATAATGCATGATGAAATACCAAAGAGGCTGGTAAAAAAAAGTTTTTTTTTGAAAATTCAGCTGTATAAAGTATGGAAAGTTTGTTGTGGTCACTTGACCTTCATTTTATGAATGAATGGTCCTAAATAAAGTTTTTAAGTACTGGTTAGTAACATAAAGCAACATAAACATCCCATTTTTTACAGCAACGTAAGCATCCAAAGTTTGTTGTAAAAGAAATGGAGAGCATGTATGTTGATGAATTAAAGGCAGCCATCAATCTGTTGATGGCAAATTTGGAGAGTTTACCTGTATCTAAGGGCAGTACTGACTCTAGGCTGACAAAATTTACTGGTAAAAGAATCAACAGGTAACTCCATATTTGTTTTTTTTACAATGTAGTGAAAATTTTAGGCTTCTGAGTCATGGCAATGTTATTTGTGCATTTTGAAGTATTTACAATTACTTCCTTTTATTGATTCAGTATAAAGGATGTTGCTTTTACATAATCAAAAATTAATTTTTCAACAAGGATATTTCTAAGCATTTATGTTTGATCTGTTTATTGAAATAACACCCAGACTATTTACTGCAGTGTAAAATGAACAAATATTTGATATTAAGATCAATGCATGAAGAAAGTACAATATAGCAATAATATTAATTGTAAAACACACTGCAACATACTGGATACTTTTTATCTTCTCAAATAATTGACTCAGCCCACATGTGTAATAACCATCCATAATATAATAGATTTGAAGAGCAAGTCAATGATGAGACAGCAACCCAAGCAAAACAAAATGAAAGTAAGACATCTAGAATTGGCAAACAGTCTTCAAAAACAGACAAGTGTGACTGTACCAATTAACAAGCTCTAAATATAACATTGCAATAATGGAAAGAACATTTAAAAATAAGCATTGATTTAGAAATATTTTTCATGTGAAAATAGACAATTGAGTAAGTGCACTTATATTAAAATATTGAAGCATATTAAAATATTGAGGCATAGCATACCTTTTATTACATGTTGATACTTGAGTAATGTGGAATGATATTTTTTTCTTGAATCGATCTTTATTATTTTTACTTGAAAATGTAATAAGATTCATTACCAAGACCGTTATACAAAGATTTCATATATTCTCTCATTTCTCAGTTTATGCTGTTAGCTGGTCCGGATTAGAATATTAATTATAACCTGTCTGTATTTTGGTTTCATATTGAACTCATGCTCAAATTAAATTGAGCAGAATAGGTTCAAGAAAAAACTTGCTTTAAAAATTTACAGAGTATTAACCTTCCACATTTTTTTTATTTATATATTTACCATATTGAATGAACTGCATAATGCTAATTTTCAAACTATTTGTATTAACAAGTTGCTGTATTTTCCATCCTTTACTGGAACTATATATCTGAAATATTGAAATATTTAGACATTTTAGTTTTACACCAGAAACTCTACACACAAATTTACGACAAAAGGGATGCTTTTTCTTTCCCTATTGTTAATTTTCCTTTTTTGGATGGTGATGTTCCTTTGGCACTATCTTACAGTGTTTATATATCCCAACTAAATCGTTATGCCTGTGTCTGTAGTGACGTTTTGGATTTCAGTGAGCGTAATCTATGTATTACTGGTAAATTATTAAGTCATTGATTTCGTTACCATAAATGGGGCCTCGGTGGCCGAGTGGTCTAAGTAGTTACTACTGTAATCACTAGCCAGTCAACACTGAGGTTGTGAGTTCGAACCCCGCTCGTGTGGTTGCACTGGACTCCAATCTTAATTGACTAGGATTGTTATTTTTCCTATCGAAGGTCGTGGTTTTCTCCGGGCACTCCGGCTTCCTCCACCAATAAAAACTGGCTGCCACGAAATAGCCCAAAAGCGGTGGTTAAAAGTGGCGTTAAAACACCAAAATCAAATCAATCGTTACCATAAATTACTTAAAACATTTACTAAATTCTTCCATAGATACAAAGATTTGGTTTGCGAGTTTGGCTGTACCTGTAAAAAACTTATTTCAGATGGAATAGCACATCCTAAATTTTACGGGGATGTTGATGATGGGGGTTATTAACGACCTTGACTGGCTATAAAGCCCTCGCATGGTCGGTGATGTTGGTTGCCGAGCATCGAAATTTATATACGATCCGGGTAAACTTACCAATCCTTTAAATAAACTTATTCTAAAAGGTTACCAATTCAACACTGTAATTATATCTTTGAATATTGTTTTTATTGGTATAAATATTGATTTTGTTATCAGTAAATTAAAATCATACTAAATAGTTTTTGTCGAGCCTGTGACTTTTGTCGCAGAAAGCTCGACATAGGGATATTGATCCGGCGGCTACGGCGGCGGCGTTAGCTAACTTCTTAAAAAGCTTTATATTTTAGAAGGTGGAAGATCTGGATGCTTCATACTTTGTATATGGATGCCTCATGTTACGAAGTTTCCGTCAGTCACATGTCCAATGTCCTTGACCTCATTTTCATGGTTCAGTGACTACTTGAAAAAAAAGTTAAGATTTTTTGTAATGTTAAATTCTCGCTTATTATAAGTAATTGGATAACTATATTTGGTATGTGCGTACCTTGCAAGGTCCTCATGCCCGTCAGACAGTTTTCACTTGACCTCGACCTCATTTCATGGATCAGTGAACAAGGTTAAGTTTTGGGGGTCAAGTCCATATCTCAGATAATATAAGCAATAGGTCTAGTATATTTGGTGTATGGAAGGACTGTAAGGTGTACATGTCCAACTGGCAGGTGTCATCTGACCTTGACCTCATTTTCATGGTTCAGTGGTTATAGTTAAGTTTTTGTGTTTTGGTCTGTTTTTCTTATACTGTATGCAATAGGTCTACTATATTTGGTGTATGGAATGATTGTAAGGTGTACATGTCTAGCTGGCAGGTGTCATCTGACCTTGACCTCATTTTCATGGTTCAGTGGTCAAAGTTAAGTTTTTGAGTTTTGGTCTTTTATTCTAATACTATATGCAATAGTTCAACTATATTTGGTGTATGGAAATATTTTATGATCTATATGTCAGTCACGCAGGTTTTATTTGACCTTGACCTCATTTTCAAGGTTCATTGCTCAGTGTTAAGTTTTTGTGTTTTGGTCTGTTTTTCTTAAACTATAAGCAATAGGTCAACTATATTTGTTGTATGGAAGAATTGTTAGCTGTACATGCCTGCCTAGCATGGTTCATCTGACCTTGACCTCATTTTTGTCGAGCCTTTGACTTTTGTCGAAAAAACGAGACATAGCGATCCTACATTCAGTCGGCGGTGTCCACAAATATTCACTCTGTGGTTAAAGTTTTTGAAATTTTAATAACTTTCTTAAACTATCCTGGATTTCTACCAAACTTGGACAGAAGCTTGTTTATGATCATAAGATAATATCCAAAAGTAAATTTTGTAAAAAAAAAATTCAATTTTTTTCCGTATTTTACTTATAAATGGACTTAGTTTTTCTGCCAGGAAACATTACATTCACTCTGTGGTTAAAGTTTTTGAAATTTTAATAACTTTCTTAAACTATCCTGGATTTCTACCAAACTTGGAAAGGAGCTTGTTTATGATCATATGATAGTATCCAGAAGTAAATTTCGTAAAAAAAAAAATCATTTTTTCAGTATTTTACTTATAAATGGACTTAGTTTTTCTGCCAGTTAAAATTACATTCACTCTGTGGTTAAAGTTTTTAAATTTTAACAACTTTCTTAAACTATCTTGGATTTGTACCAAAGTTGGACAGAAGCTTGTTTATGACTAAAAGCTAGTATCTAGAAGGAATTTTTGTTAAAATTTTGTTCCATTTTTTCCGTATTTTACTTGTAAATGGACTTAGTTTTTCTTCCAGTTAACATTACATACAGTCTGCAGTTTAAGTTTTTAAAACACTTATTAGATTCATAAACTATCCTGGATTTTTACCAAACTTGGTCAGAAGCTACTTACAATCAAAAGATAGTATAGAGAGGAATATTTTAATTAAATTTTTTCCTCATTTTTGTTGAGCCTGCGATTAACAGCAAAAGTAGGCGAGACACTGGGTTCCACGGAACCCTTACGAATTTTCATGGTTCATTGGTCAATGTTTAGTTTACTTGGTTAATTTTAAGTTTATGTGACAGTTGTAATAAAGCCGTATATTTAGGACTTTCAACATAATATCAATGATTAGTAAAGAAGGCGAGACATTTCAGCGTGTGCACTCTTGTTTTATACACATATATAGATATAAGAAGATGTGGTATGAGTGCCAATGAGACAACTCTCCATCCAAGTCAAAATTTATAAAAGTAAACCATTATAGGTCAAAGTATGGTCAAAGTATGCACTTTAACGGTACTACAACCTGTCGATACCTTTATTTTGGCATTGCACAAGGTCATGTTTTTCTCCATCTGTTAATGATGTCTTTTCATTAAATCCATTGGATGTTGGATGTGTACTGATTGATTTTTTATATGACCGCAAAAAATTTTGTGGTCATATAATGGTATCACATCGTCAGCGTCATCCAAAGACATTTGGTTTCCGGACAATAATTTTAGTAAATGTAAATAGAAATCTATGAAATTTAAACACAAGGTTTATAACCACAAAAGCAAGGTTGGGATTGATTTTGGGGGTTATAGTCCTTACAGTTTAGGAATTAAGGGTAAAAAAGGGGCCCAAAAAAGCATATTTCTAGTTTCCAGACAATAACTTGTGAAACGTTGTACGGATCTCTCTGAAATTATACCACAAGTTTCCATACCACAAAGGGATGGTTAGGATTGGCTTTAGGGGGTTATGGCTCAAACCATTTAGGAATTAGGGGCAAAAAAGGGGGAAAACAAGGGTTTCCTGGTTAATGGACAATTAAAAAAAGTACAATGTTATGTTTGGATTACCTCCTTTACACTGCTTTTAAATTATGTATAAAAAAATGTTGAATTGTCTTGAGGTGATTAGCTGTCAATTTATTTTTAGAAGTTACTATTTAAAATGCTGATTAAGGAATATTAATTTTAGCCATGATTATGTATGTCATTTTCTATTTTAAGACTTTTATGATGTACATGTATTTAAATGGGTAATTATGGTTGCAAACTCTATTGGAAATTTGAAATGAGATTATGACCATATCTTGAGGGAAAGAATTTTTTTTTTTGAAAAAGGGGGGGGGGGGGGGAGTTTAAAAAAATTGGGGGGGGGGGGGGGTAAAAAAGAAATGGTGAGGGGGGGGGGATTTTTTCTCAGTTCAGATTTCAGAAATTAAAAAGAAAATTCCTTCAAATATTTTTTTTTTTTTTGCAAAAGTGTCAAATATTTTAATTACAATCCAAATTCAGACCTGTATCAAGCGTGAATATTGTGTCCATTTTTGCCCCAACTGTTTAGGGTTGGACCTTTGCGGTCGTATCCAGCTGTGCTCGGCGAAGCAATTTATTCATCATTCTCTAAGATATTGATTTGATATTTGTTTTATAGTTTACACCATGACAAGTTATAGTTCAAGTTAGCATTTTGTTCCAGTACAATGAATTTTTAACCGGTAGGGGACTATGTATTGCCATGCAATACTCTCAGAATTCTTGTTGATTATTGATCATCAGAAATTATATTTATTTTTCACCCTTGTATTTTGCTATTTATTTTTGAAATCTTATTCAATTGAAATTTTTTTTTTTTTTAGAAAAGTGAATTATCAGAGATCTTTTTAGATGAATTAACAAAGTGTACAGTTTTGGAATTTATTCTTCTTAGCACAGTTTTATGTAAAGAAAAAGATGTTTTCCATTTGACCTAAAGTATGATAAATAAAATTAGTTTTCAGACTTGTGTATTGTAGGTTAGATTGGGAGATTTTGTTTGTACCTTTTTCTTTAGTAAGGTATGATTAAGTGCTTGAATAAACAATTTTGCCTAATATATAATAAGGTTTGGTGCTTGTTTATTAATCTGTAGAATTCACCCTTTTTAATAAGTCATACATTTAATCGTGATCTGTCTCTCAAATAACAACCAAATTCAATTTATTTTTTGTCTCTAAATATATGTACTGGTTTGTATAAAGGAGTTAGGTATATATACTTCTTAGTTTACCTGAGATATTGGTTTTTATGAATATTATCCTTTTTCTGCTTAAAAATTTGTAGTTTAACTAAGATAATTATAATTGACTGAAAGACCTTGTTTAAGCTCATGTTGTTATTTATACTTTAAAGTCAGATTTTTTGTTAGCAGTCTATTTTTTGGTAATTTCATGATAACTAATAGAATTAAGAAAATTTGATCTTTAAGGTACTTCAGAATCAGAAACAAGAAATGCTCGAACATAATACCTTGCTAATTGGTTATGCAATAGAAATTGAAAAATTTTAAAACTCCTCAAATATAAACCACTTTACATAATGTAAATATGTGCCAACACTCAAATTAAATTTAATAACGTACTTACTCAATATACAGCAGGAAATTTATCTACATAAAAAAAAATTATGAAGGGAATATAAATAATGATACTCTTTGCAAACAAAATTTTGGGTGTAGATAGGAATCACTCTGTACATCTGATCATATATCTGTCTTTCTGTCTATGTGATCATTCATCTGTCTTTCTGTCCATGTGATCATATATCTCTCTTTCTGTCCATGTGATCATATATCTGTCTTTCTGTCCATGTGATCATATATCTGTCTTTCTGTCCATGTGATCATATATCTGTCTTTTGTCCATGTGATCATATATCTGTCTTTCTGTCCATGTGATCATATATCTGTCTTTTTGTCCATGTGATCATATATCTGTCTTTCTGTCCATGTGATCATATATCTGTCTTTCTGTCCATCTGATCATATATCTGTCTTTCTGTCCATATGATCATATATCGGTCTTTCTGTCCATGTGATCATATATCGGTCTTTCTGTCCATGTGATCATATATCGATCTTTCTGTCCATGTGATCATATATCTGTCTTTTGTCCATGTGATCATATATCGGTCTTTTTGTCCATCTGATCATATATCTGTCTTTCTGTCCATGTGATCATATATCTGTCTTTCTGTCCATGTGATCATATATCTGTCTTTCTGTCCATGTGATCATATATCTGTCTTTCTGTCCATGTGATCATATATCTCTCTTTCTGTCCATGTGATCATTCATCTGTCTTTCTGTCCATGTGATCATATATCTGTCTTTTGTCCATGTGATCATATATCTGTCTTTCTGTCCATGTGATCATATATTGGTCTTTCTGTCCATGTGATCATATATCTGTCTTCTGTCCATCTGATCATATATCGATCTTTCTGTCCATGTGCCTTGTTAACTCACCTAAACAGCTAGACAGATATTCATGAAACATTCACAGTTGTAGAAAACTACCTAAGGATGTGCATGAAGGAATGTGATTCAGGCTCTACAAGTTAAAGGGGAGATAATCAATCTTGCTTACTTCAGTATTGCAATATATGGTAATAGTCCTTTTTATACTGTCTTGTGTAATGCATAATGATAAGAAATTTTCTATTGCTTTTAGTGTGTATTGCGTTAATGTAATACAAATAATTTTCTTAAGTATAACTAAGTATTAAATCGAGAGGAAAACATGAATCTATTTACAAATTATCTCCCCTCAGTAAAGCAGTATTTGTATGCACCCAACACTCAGTGGCCAGGGTATATATATCTGTCAAATCGTCCTCTGAAAATGGGAAAATTGTAAACAATTGTACTGCTTTTTTTCCGTTACACCAGTAGATATACACGTAATTAGTTGAATTGTTAGTGAAGAATAGTGAGTTACAGACTGAGTTCTCATCCTGGACAACCTACCTTTCACCTTTAAAAACCCTTTGAATTAGATATTCTGGCAGCAGGTGGGTACATTGTATTGTCCGTACACATTGATATTTTTTCTTGAATTGAAATAGCTGTAAAAATTTGACATAATTAGTAGAGAATTGGGTTTTTTTTATTTCAGATTTTATATGTTTGATAACATGTGCTGTCCCAGTTTAATGTTAGGTTTTATGTAAGTTTGTGTGATGTCATCCTGTGACTGAATAATCATTATTTCAATGCTTGGCAAACGAACTAACAATTATTGATAAATTTTGCTAATTTTCCAATCTCATTGAGTGTTTTTGTGTGTTTTATATTTGCTTGCTCATTCCATTGGTCCAATTTTAGAAGATTCATCTCTATTCATATCTTAAAACAATGTGCAATGTTTCTACAAATATATAAGAATGAAACCCATACGAAGGCGTTGATATATTTTCTGCTTTGATTTCTGAGAAAAAAAAACTTCATCAGTGCAATCACTGTTTTATAATATTTGTTCAATAGTTAACAATAGTAACACTACACTTATTTGAAGCTATAAGATCACTGATATTTTGAGCAAGAGCAAGGTTAATGCCAGTATCCTTCATTCTAAGTTCAAGGGTCATTATGGAGAACCTAACAATGTTTCCAAGCATTGAATGATAGGGCTATGGTGAATCTTAAATGGTCTGGATGGATGACTTCACTCTTCACTTTTTTTTCTCTTAATCATTTTTTTTTTTCACAGCTGCTTTCAGAGGATGCACATATAGAAGACAACATTAACAGAAATAACAATGATTGTAGAATTTGTTAGTAGTGTTAGGCCAACTAAAATTTACATCTATTATTAGTGTTAGACAATTTGATATTTACTATTTATTAATGTTAGGCTAAGTAAAGTTAATTCTGAGGTTTTTATTTGTTTTCATCTTCGATTTGATACATTTTCCTGGAAAAAAATTGGATGTCACAAAATGATCATCTTCATGCCACAGATTTTCCACCAAATGCAGTTTATTCATAAAACTAACATTTGAAACTTATCTATTAGGAAAGTGAGGAAGTGTAAACATTGCAGGAATGAGCAAGGATGGATATTTATTGTTCATTTATTTTTTGCCTTCCAGAATTTTTAGAATTTTACATATTGATAGTTTTTGATACTACAGATTGCAGTCCCACTTGGCAAGTAGAAGGTGAATTTATTTGTTACTTTTATTGTTACAAAGAGAAGTAAGGAAAAGGGTGCTTATTTGTCCTATTTATTGCCCCAAAACAGCTGGAAAAATTGATTTTTTTTGTGCTTTTAACTGCCAGTAACAGCTAGGGATAGATTGCTTGAATTTACCCAGAAAACAATCCACAAAAATTATGATAATTATTGGTTTTGACATTGTTGTCTCTCTTGAATCCTTCCTGAATATACTTCAGAAAAATAGATCGAACTAGTTTCAGATTGGTTCTGATATATTTTCCTCTTGCATGCACTCTGGTATGGGTATATATATTAAACAAATATGATATAACTTTATATATTCAGATAGCATGCTTAAAGAAAAATTTATAATTCAATAGTGCTGTTTGATTAGATACAAGAAATTTCTAAATACTGTGCAAAGAAGTGATAGTAGAGTATTATTGAAAATGGCAGCTGTTGGAAAATTATTAAATTTCATAATGATTAGAATTTTTTTGTTTTACATATTTGTACAACAAAAGCTTGATTTTTCCTTTTCTGCATTTTGAATTTGTAGCTTGTAATTTTTTTAAACTTTCATTTTTACCTTCTTACTCTTAGCAAAATATTATTCTCTATGGTAATCAAATGAACTTGTATACAGAGGTTTACTCCAGATAATAATTATGAAGTCAGCAGTTTTCATCTACAATGTACCATGAAAGGACTTTTATTTTTCAGGTCCTATTTATCATGACTGCAGCATTTTTCAAAGTCTCAAATGTTTTACTTAATGATTTGTTATGTCTGTTACCATAAATTAAACGGCCCTAGAATGCTTAGTTTGATTTGATTCCTTATATATAGACTGAGTAATTACACTCCTGGTGGAGCATACTTTAATTAAGAAAAGTTATATGTTATTTAGTTTGGAAAGATTGACACTATCTTGATGGAGAATAAGTATTTTTTTTTATCAATGCATCCTTCAATTTCAAATGCAGTATTTCATTTGGACTGTTTATTGGAATATTTAATTGGAAGTTAAATTATTTGTTAGATTTTCACAGTTAAGAAAGCATACAGCAACATGATTTATTACATGTTCTCAAATTGGTACTACGTGAACACACATGCCATGATGTAATATTCTGGTTTCTGAAGAGAGGATCCATTTTTTGTCTCACCTTTACAGAGTCAAAAAGTGAGACAATGGTATGCTGTTTCAAGCATCGGCAGTGTCAGTGTCAACAATGATTTAGTTTGTGATTAGGTCTAGTTTATGGTGAACCACTAGTGGTAGGTCAATTATATTTGGTATGCAGTTGTATTAGCATTGGCACATCTCATTTCCATGGAGATTATTTGGCCCTGCCCCCTCAGTCATGGTCTATTGATTTTGAAACTTTTACTTAGTTTACATGTATTAGTTGTGATTAGGTCAGTTTATGGGGAACCACTAGTGGTAGGTCAATGATATTATATGGTATGAAGTTGTATAAACATTAGCACATCTCATTTCCATGGAGAATATTCGGACCCGCCCCCTCAGTCATGGTCTATTGACTTAAACTTTTGCTAAGTTTACATGTATTAGTTTTTGATTAGATCAGTTTAAGATGAACCACTAATGTTAAGTCAATGATATTTGGTATGCAAATTTATTGGCATTTGCAAGTCTCTTTTCCATGGAGATTATATAGCCTCCCTCATCATTGTTCATTGACTTTGAAACTTTTACATAGTTTACAAGATAATGTGTGTGTTTAGGTTTGTTTAATGGGAAAGACTTATGATAAGTCAATGGTATTTGGTATGCAGTTGTATTTGCATTGGCACATCCGTTTGATTGGGGATAATTTAGCCATGTACCTTCAGTCAGGGTTCATTGACTTTGAACATTTGCATAACTTAGATGAGAAAGTATTGCTATTTTAATTTCAACATTTGCATTATCAAAATAACAAAAAGGCGAGACATATCTCTGTTAACAGTTAATTTAGCTTCTGTTTATTATGGACACTGTATTAAGAGATTGAAACCTGAAACTATGGGAGTTCTGTTGTCTATGTCCTTGAAGATTTTAAAGCATATTGAATCCATATGAAATTATTACACAATGATATAGATATCTCATATCCACAACAAGACAAGTTGACATAAATTTTGCCATTGTTTTCCTTAATCCACTGTTCCAATTTATTTTTCAGGACCCACACTTCTTCCCTTTCCAAGATGGACATTTCTGATGATACAGAAACGGGCTTATCAAAATTAGATGTTGTGCTGTCATTTACATTGGAGGTTAGTAAAGTTATGTTATTTTATGACTACAAAAATTGATGGTTTTGGTTGTTATGATATTGACTATTAAAGGTTAGATTCTTTGAACTTTGATTCCCTCCAAAAAAATAATTTTTATGCCCCCTCCACAGCAGAGGGGGCATTAAGTATTACCCTTGTCTGAATGTCCATCAGTCTGTCCATACGTATGTAAACGGAAACCAATTTCGGGACGTATATCTTTATATCTTTACATACGTCCCGAAATTGGTTTCTTTTCTCTAACTTAAGTCTGCCTCAACCAAATGTTATGAAACTTTTACACAATGCTTATTATCACAAAACACAGATCAAGTGTGAATTTGGATGACGTCACATTTACCGTTTTTGAGTAATGTCCCTTATAACACTATATGCAGGCATGGGCATCATGTGTGTCCCAAGGACACATTCTCCATTTATTTAATTATCTTATTTCACACTTTATATAAGAATTAAAAGTAATACATATGTACTAAAAGTAATAGATATTTCCAATGTCTCCATTATATAGCATAACTACTTTCAGAAATTCATTTTTGTGGCCATAATACTATGAAACAACTGTACAATATGTTTTAACAATTCTGTGTATAATTGCATAATTGGTGCTGTGATCCAGCAAATTTTTTAGCTAGTTTGACATTTTTTCTGATCTCATTTCACTATTTTTGTCTCGCCTTGACGGAGTCAAAAAGCGAGACACAGGTATGCTGTTTCTGGCGTCGGCGACGGTGGCGTCAAAAATGTATTAGTTTGTGATTAGGTCTAGTTCATGGTGAACCACTTGTGGTAGGTCAATGATATTTTGTATGCAGTTGTATTAGCATTGGCACATCTCATTACCATGGAGATTATTTGGCCCGCCCCCTCAGTCAAGGTCTATTGACTTTGAAATTTTGCTTAGTTTACATGTATTAGTTTGTGATTAGGTCAGTTTATGGGGAACCACTAGTGGTAGGTCAATGATATTTGGTATGCAGTTGTATAAGCATTGGCATATCTCATTTCCATGGAGATTATTTGGCCCCGCCCCCTTAGTCATGGTCTATTGACTTTGAAACTTTTGCTTAGTTTTCATGTATTAGTTTGTGATTAGGTCAGTTTAAGGGTAACTGTTAGTGGTAGGTCAATGATATTTGGTATGCAGTTTTATAGGCATTAGCACATCTCATTTCCATGGAGAATATCTGGTCCTTACCCCTCAGTAATGGTCTATTGACTTTGAAACTTTTGCTTTGTTTACATGTATTGGTTTGTGATTAGGTCAGTTTAAGATGAACCACTAATGTTAAGCCAATGATATTCGGTATGCAAATGTATTGGCATTTGCAAGTTTCATTTCCATGGAGATTATATAACCCCACCCCCTAATTATGGTTCATTGACTTAGAAACTTTTACATAGTTTACAAGTTAATGTTTGTGTTTAGGTTTGTTTAAAGGGAACGACTTATGAAAAGTCAATCATATTTGGTGTGCAGTTGTATTAGCATTGGCACATCTCATTTCCATGGAGATTGTTTAGCCCTGTACCTTCAGTCATGGTTCATTATTGACTTTGAATATTTGCATAACTTACATGTTAAAGTATTGCTATTTTAATTTCAACATTTGCATTATCAAAATAACAAATAGGAGAGACATATCTCTGTGTTAACAGTTTATTTGTCTTTACTCCAACTCCTGAAAGATTTTTCAAGACAATCATAAGAAATTGGGATAAAAGATTTTGGCCCAAAATATAAATTTGTGTTCAGACACGATTTCTATAAAAAAAAAATTAGACGATACCAAAGAACAATTCAAAATCATAAATCTAATAAAACTTAAGTTTGACAACATAATGGAGTGAAACTTACGACATTGTGATAATTTTTGTTTAAGCCTGCGACATTTATGTCGCGAAAGCAAGACATAGTAATCCTAGAAGTCGGCGGCAGAGGCAACATTTAGGTTCAGTCTGTGGTTTAAGTTTTTTGCTTGAGCCTGCGACTTTTGTCGCAGAAAGCTCGACAAAGGGATAGTGATCCGGCGGCGGCGGCGGCGGCTACGGCGGCGGCGGCGTTAGCTAACTTCTTAAAAGCTTTATATTTTAGAAGCTAGAAGACCTGGATGCTTCATACTTTGTATATAGATGCCTTATGTTACGAAGTTTCCGTCTGTCATATGTCCAATGTCCTTGACCTCATTTTCATGGTTCAGTGACTACTTGAAAAAAAAGTCAACATTTTTTGTAATGTTAATTTCTTTCTTATTATGAGTAATAGGATAACTATATTTAGTATGTGCGTACCTTGCAAGGTCCTCATGCCCGTCAGACAATTTTCATTTGACCTCGACCTCATTTCATGGATCAGTGAACCAGGTTAAGTTTTCGTGGTCAAGTCCATATATCAGATACTATAAGCAGTAGGTCTACTATATTTGGTATATGGAATGATTGTAAGGTGTACATGTCCAACTGGTAGGTGTCATCTGACCTTGACCTCATTTTCATGGTTCAGTGGTCAAAGTTAAGTTTTTGAGTTTTGGTCTTTTTTTCTAATACTGTATGCAATAGGTCAACTATAAATGGTGTATGGAATGATTGTAAGGTGTACATGTCTAGCTGGCAGGTGTCATCTGACCTTGACCTCATTTTCATGGTTCAGTGGTCAAAGTTAAGTTTTTGAGTTTTGGTCTTTTTTTCTAATACTATATGTAATAGTTCAACTATATTTGGTGTATGGAAATATTTTATGATCTATATGTCAGTCACACAGGTTTTATTTGACCTTGACCTCATTTTCAAGGTTCATTGCTCAGTGTTAAGTTTTTGTGTTTTGGTCTGTTTTTCTTATACTGTATGCAATAGGCCTACTATATTTGGTGTATGGAATGATTGTAAGGTGTACATGTCTAGCTGGCAGGTGTCATCTGACCTTGACCTCATTTTCATGGATCAGTGGTCAAAGTTAAGTTTTTGAGTTTTGGTCTTTTTTTCTAATACTATATGCAATAGTTCAACTATATTTGGTGTATGGAAATATTTTATGATCTATATGTCAGTCAGGCAGGTTTTATTTGACCTTGACCTCATTTTCAAGGTTCATTGCTCAGTGTTAAGTTTTTGTGTTTTGGTCTGTTTTTCTTAAACTATAAACAATAGGTCAACTATAATTGTATGGAAGAATTGTTAGCTGTACATGCCTGCCTAGCATGGTTCATCTGACCTTGACCTCATTTTCATGGTTCATTGGTCAATGTTTAGTTTACTTGGTTAATGTTAAGTTTATGTGACAGTTGTAATAAAGCTTTATATTTAGGACTATCAACATAATATAAATGATTAGTAAAGAAGGCGAGACATTTCAGCGTGTGCACTCTTGTTTTAGACATCAATAACTTTGTCAAATCTGTATGGAATTTCAGGAAATTTGGACAGAAGCTTGTTTATGACCAAAATACAGCATCCAGAGCAAAATTTTGAAAATATTTATTTTCATTTTTCCGTATTTTTCTGATAAATGGACTGTAGTTTTTGTCGAGCCTGCGACTTTTGTGGCAGAAAGTTGACATACGGATAGTGATCAGGCGGATGCTACGGCGGCGGCGTTAGCTAACTTCTTAAAAGCTTTATATTTTAGAAGGTGGAAGGTCTGGATGCTTCATACTTTGTATATGGATGCCTCATGTTACGAAGTTTCCGTCAGTCACATGTCCAATGTCCTTGACCTCATTTTCATGGTTCAGTGACTAGTTGAAAAAAAAGTTAAGATTTTTTGTAATGTTAAATTCTCTCTTATAGTAAGTAATAGGATAAATAAATTTGGTATGTGCGTACCTTGCAAGGTCCTCATGCCCGTCAGACAGTTTTCAATTGACCTCGGCCTCATTTCATGGATCAGTGAATAAGGTTAAGTTTTGGTGGTCAAGTCCATATCTCAGATACTATAAGCAATAGGTCTAGTATATTCGGTGTATGGAAGGACTATAAGGTGTACATGTCCAACTGGCAGGTGTCATCTGACCTTGACCTCATTTTCATGGTTCAGTGGTTATAGTTAAGTTTTTGTGTTTTGGTCTGTTTTTCTTATACTGTATGCAATAGGTCTACTATATTTGGTGTATGGAATGATTGTAATGTGTACATGTCTAGCTGGCAGGTGTCATCTGACCTTGACCTCATTTTCATGGTTCAGTGGTTAAAGTTAAGTTTTTGAGTTTTGGTCTTTTTTTCTAATACTATATGCAATAGTTCAACTATATTTGGTGTTTGGAAATATTTTATGATCTATTTGTCAGTCACGCAGGTTTTTTTACTTATCTTGACCTCATTTTCAAGGTTCATTGCTCAGTGTTAAGTTTTTGTGTTTTGGTCTGTTTTTCTTAAACTATAAGCAATAGGTCAACTATATTTGTTGTATGGAAGAATTGTTAGCTGTACATGCCTGCCTAGCATGGTTCATCTGACCTTGACCTCATTTTCATGGTTCAGTGGTCAATGTTTAGTTTATTTGGTTAATGTTAAGTTTATGTGACAGTTGTAATAAAGCTTTATATTTAGGACTATCAACATAATATCAATGATTAGTAAAGAAGGCGAGACATTTCAGCGTGTGCACTCTTGTTTGTCTCACCTGCAATGAAAGTCGCAGTATGTGAGACATAGGTACTACTATCCGGCCGTTCGTGGGGTGGCATAAACTATTTGTATAAAGCTTTATATTTCAGAAGGTAGAAGACCAGGATGCCTCATATCTTGTATGCAGATACCTTATGTTACGAAGTTTCCGTCAATAATATGTCCATTGTCCTTGACCTCCTTTTCATGGTTCAGCGACTGCTTGTAAAAAAAATTTTTGTTTTTTTGTCATGTGAATTTTTCACTTATTATGAGTAATAGGATAACTATATTTGTTATATGGGTTCCTTGCAAGGTCCTCATACCTGTCAGACAGTTTTCACTTGACCTCACCTCATTTCATGGATCAGAGAACAAGGTTAAGTTTTCGTGGTCAAGTCCATATCTCAGAAATTATAAGCAATAGGTCAACTATATTTGGTTTTGGAATGATTATAAAGTGAACAAGTCAGTCTGGCAGGGTGTATCTGACCTTGACCTCATTGTCTTTGATCATTGATAATGTTAAAGAGTATGTGATTCTGGTAGGAAAACCTCTCTCTTTAAGATTTCAACATATAATCAATTATGGTCATTAAAGCAGGCTTGACATTTTAGCATTTGCACTTTTGTTTTTTAAATTGGGAAAGAAGTATTTATTTACAATTAGAAACATTTTACTGTACAGTGTTTGTTTCCTTTATAGGTCCATGTTGTTGAAGTAAAAGGTCTGAAATCATTAGCCAACAGTAAGATTGTGTATTGTACAATGGAAGTGGAAGGTGGAGAAAAATTACAAACTGATCATGCTGAAGCCTCTAAACCATGGTAAGTGTAATCTTAGGACCAAGGGTCAGGGGCTCTTTTCACAGAAAATCTTATGATAAAAATGATCGTAAGTCATACTGAATTGTTCATGACTTGCAAGTTTTTTTTTCTCTTTAAATTTTTATGCCCCTGCTGTAAGGGTCATTAAATGTTACCATTAACTGTCTTTCTGTCCATCCATCTTTCCCTCCCTCCCATTTTCGTTTCCGCACTCTAACAAGTTTGCCTCATGCAAATTTTATGAAACTCCTACACAATGCTAAGAACCACAACATGCAGACAAGAGTTCAAATTTGAGCAGTGAGTCTTTTACCATTCTAGAGTTATGCCCCTTTTTAACTTGGAAAATGGAAAGCTTTAGTGGGTGCATTCATGTCCTCAGACACATTCTTCTTTTATTTGTGAAATAAATTACTGACCTGTAGAACAAATTCGGAAAAGTCCCTAACATTCCGATGATAAGAACACTGCAGGTTCAAGGTCAACCCTGCTGAATATCAAGAAAAATCCTCTGGAAATTTACATCTTAAATTGAAATTATTAAATGTTTATTCAATTTTTTTCCCTGAAATTATGATAAATCTGAAATATTTACTGTAATCATTTTAGCAGAAATCAAACATTAGTGTCTTTCTGGCTTAAACAGTTATAACTCAGTAAAAATATGGTAAGCATTGTTGAACTAGGCTAAACTTCCGTACTTTCAAGAATTTCATTAATTAAGAACTTTATACCATAGTTATACATCTTTGTAATCTCATTTAGTTATGGGAAAATAGAAAAGGCAGTTGTTTTTATGAAAAAAGGTAAGACCACACAGATAAATGATATATATATATCTAAGAAACCAAACTAACAAACTACGGTCATTATTGTATACAATAAAGGACTATCTTTGTATGAGGGTAGGAATGCCCTTTACCGTCAGGCATCAAACAGTAATTTTCGGCTACCGTAAGCGTCAAATTTGTTAAAAATTTATCGTGATTCGTCAAATATCCTTATCGTGATTTGTCAGAGGTCTCAAATAATTACCTTTACCTTTATTTTTAGAAAAAATTAAAGTGATCTGTCAAAATCATTCGATTTTTTTTATCGTCTTAAAGAAAGTGTACATTTTATCGTCATGCACCAAAACTTACCGTTAATGTCATTTGGCAAGATTTTTTACCGTTATTCGTCCACCATTACGACCATCATTACGACCCTCTTGTATACTGGTGTTTGATTTTAGAACTTGGGAATGTAGTCATTTTTCAACAAATTTAATGATAGAGGGTACAAGTTTTGTGTAATCAACTTCTACAATTTTCAACCAAAATCTGTGAAACTTCGCACAATGATTGCACATATGTGGAAGTTGTACACCTGCTTTGTTGGAATTGTTTGAGGATTTTTTCTCATTTTTCCAGACTTCAAAAAGGGGCCAAAAATAAGCATTTTTGTAACTTCCAGACATAACTTGTGTGTTAGTGTATGGATCTCTCTGACATTGTCTGGAATTATGTCCTTTTTCAGCAAAATTGATGACAGCGGGTAAAAGTTTTTCCAACTACATTGATTAGTCACAAATATTGCAACCGTGCCATTTGAGACTTTGACCCATTTTTATACGACCGCAAAAAAATTTTGCGGTCGTATATTGATATGACGTTGGCATCGTCGTCATTGTTGTCCGAAGACACATTGGTTTTCGCACTCTAACTTTAGTTAAGTGAATGGATCTCTATGAAATTTTACTATAAGGTTCAATACCACAAAAGGAAGGTTGGGATTGATTTTGGGGGTTATGGTACCAACAGTTAAAGAATTAGGGGCCAAAAAGGGGCAAAAAATAAGCATTTTTGTAACTTCCAGACATAACTTGTGTGTAAGTGTATGGATCTCTCTGACATTGTACCACAAGGTTCCATATCACAAAAGGAATGCTGGTATTGATTTTGGGGGTAATTGCCTCAAAATTTTAGGAATTAGGGGCCAAAAAAGGGGCAAAAAACAAGCATTTTTCTAGTTTCATGACAATAACTTGTGTTAGTATATGGATCTTTCTGAAATTGTACTACAAGGTTCCATATCACAAAGGGAAAGCTGGAATTGAGTTTGGGGGTAATTGCCCAAAACGTTTAGGAACAAAGGGCCTAAAAGGGGCCAAAAATAATCATTTTTCTAGTTTCCAGACAATAACTTGTGTTCAAGTGTATGGATCTCTCTATAATTGTACTGCAAGGTACCATACCACAAAAGGAAGTCTGGGATAGATTTTGGGGGTAAATCCCTCAAAATTTTAGGAATTAGGGGCCAAAAAGGGGAAAAAAACAAGCATTTTTCTAGTTTCAGGACAATAACTTGTGTGTAAGTATATGGATCTTTCTGAAATTGTACTACAAGGTTCCATATCACAAAGGGAAAGCTGGAATTGAGTTTGGGGGTAATTGCCCAAAAGGTTTAGGAATAAGGGGCCAAAAATAAGCATTTTTCTAGTTTCCAGACAATAACTTGTGTTATCTATTTCAATTAAACATGCACAAGATTTGTTAGGAAAATATTAACATAAAGCATTATAATGTTTGAATACTGACTACCTTTAGTTACATAATTGTAAATTAGAATGTAGATCTACACATATATACATCATGTACATAGGTATTTTCATTGTTATTTTTTTCTTTTTTTTTTTCTTCTCATGACTTTATTGAAGGTGAATAAATCTTAATCCTAAATCCTTGGGGGCACTCAGCTGTTCCATCTGAGTTTTTGGACCTTGATGGAATTTTTTCACTGGTTATTTCTAAAATTTCATTCATCCCCAAGCATTTCGGGGACAAATTTTATCAAATTTATTCCAGCGCCAGTGGCTATCCCCATGCAGACCTTGCACACCCCGGCTGCAGATGAGACGCCTAGTCTCATCACCGAAGTGGAGAACCCTTGCTTCACATTCCCCACCTGGCGTATTGTCGGGCAGGCAGGTTCTTCCTCACGCAGGAACTCAAAATTGTCTTGTATGCTGAGTGTTTCCCCAGGGCCAAAACCAGATTGATTAATTGATTTTTATAATAAAATTATTATTCATTCTAATATATCTTTCTGCTTTAAGCCAGTATGATTTTGCTCAGACTATGTTTTTGGTTTACACACAGATATCCCTTATGTTATATTTGGTATTGTTTTTTCGGAGCTGGTATCTGCTCAATTACAAGGACATTTATTGAGATTTGCTCTATTAGGAGAGAGTTTTACTCTAAATAAGTGTGGGTTGTCAGGACTTGCTCATCAATACAAACAGAACATAATTTTACCTGAAAAGTTACACCTGTTAAAATATAGGTCGATTTGATCATTAAACATTTCATCTTATCAATGGAAGGCTTGCATATTGAAACCTTGATCTTTGAAAAAGGTAAATAAAATTATGTCTTTAGAAATTTAGTAAGCCTGCCATTGGTGACCTGGAATGTTTTGATCACTGACACTAGAGGCATAGACAACAAGTGTTGTGTCTATCATATGTTAATTAAATGTATCCATAATGTAAGCATCTTTATTATCACATTAATTATTAAGTGTAAGCTGGAATGGCTGTTTGTATAAACAGTACTTATATTAATTTCATATAAGTACAATATTCAAGTGTATGGATCTCTCTGAAATTGTACTGCAAGGTACCATACCACAAAGGGAAGGCTGAGATTGATTTTGGGGATAATTGCCTCAAAATTTTAGGAATTAGGGGCCAAAAAGGGGAAAAAAACAAGCATTTTTCTAGTTTCAGACAATGACTTGTGTTTAAGTGTATGGATCTTTATGAAATTGTACTACAAGGTTCCTTATCACAAAGGGAAAGCTGGATTTGAGTTTGGAGGTAATTGCCCTAAACGTTTAGGAATTTGGGGCCAAAAAGGGGCCTATAAACAAGCATTTTTTCTAGTTTCCAGACAATAACTTGTGTTCAAGTGTATGAAAAGGGAAGGCTGGGATTGAGTTTGGGGGTGATGAATCATAAGGGGGTTCAAAAAATTTGGGGGAGGGATTTTTTTCCTTTTTTTCCTTTTTTTTTCTTTAAAATTTTCCATTTTAAATTGGTTATTTCTGATTTATATATAAAAGCAAATAATAATGATATGGTTTGAATAGATAAATTAAAATTTTTTAAGTTCTTAGACCACATTCATTCTGTGGCAGAAACCTATGCTGTGTCAAATATTTAATCACAATCCAAATTCAGTGCTGTATCAAGCTTGAATGTTGTGTCCATACTTGCCCCAACTTTTCAGGGTTCGACCTCTGTGGTCGTATCAAGCTGCGCCCAGCGGAGTGTTTTATTCATATAAGGTTTATGAAGACAATTTGGGGACAAGATTAACTTTGCAATCATAGATGACCAAATGTTGACAATTATTGTTTCAATGTTATTCCTTATAAAGATTACATATCTCACAAACTAACTCAAATTTCTTTATATTTTTGTCGAGCCTTCGACTTTAGTCGAAAAAGCGAGACATAGCGATCCTACATTCCGTCGGCGGCGTCCACAAATATTCACTCTGTGGTTAAAGTTTTTAAAATTTTAATAACTTTCTTAAACTATCCTGGGTTTGTACCAAACTTGGACAGAAGCTTGTTTATGATCATAAGATAGTATCTAGAAGTAAATTTTGTAAAAAAATAAATCCATTTTTTCCTTATTTTACTTTTAAATGGACTTAGATTTTCTGCCAGGAAACAACACATTCACTCTGTGGTTAAAGTTTTTAAAATTTTAATAACTTTCTTATACTATTTTGGATTTGTACCAAACTTGGACAGAAGCTTGTTTATGACCAAAAGCTAGTATCTAGAAGGAAATTTTGTAAAAAAATAAATCCATTTTTTCCGTATTTTACTTTTAAATGGACTTAGATTTTCTGCCAGGAAACAACATATTCACTCTGTGGTTAAAGTTTTTAAAATTTTAATAACTTTCTTAATTATACTATTTTGGATTTGTATCAAACTTGGACAGAAGCTTTTTTATGATCAAAAGCTAGTATTTAGAAGGAATTTGTTTTCTTCCAGTTAACATTACATTCAGTCTGCAGTTAAAGTTTTTAAACATTTATTAGATTCATAAACTATCCTGGATTTTTACCAAACTTGGACCGATGCTTCTTACAATCAAAAGATAGTATCAAGAGGAATATTTTTATTTTTGTTGAGCCTGCGATTAACAGAAAAAGTAGGCTAGACACTGGGTTCCGTGGAACCCTTACGAATTTTTTATGTTCAAATCCAGCTTATAGTATAGACTGGTGTTGAAATAAAATTCCTATTTCAACCCTGACATTTTTCCTTTAACCCTTTTTTTTCAAAACTTTTAAAAAATCATCTTTTCTTTACTAGCATTAAATAGTTGTACTCGAAGCATATAAATACTAGTGTCATAACTATTTATATGGCCTTTCTAGTTGCAAACCATAATTATTGCAACTTGGCCATTTTTGTTTAAAATTGTTTATTACTTGAAATGTTGGTATAATTTTTGACAATTCTGAATTTTCGTATAGCAGTGTTATACAAGAGTAGAACTTCCTTTATGGAAAAAAAAATTATTTGAGCCTTTCGGTTGAAGCTTATTTTGTTATTGCTAAGGGACACAAACACTGTATAACTCAGATGTTATTTATATACTGGGGATTGATTTTTATTTGTGGGATACACATTTTTGGGGAAATTCCTTGATAAAGGTAAAACACGAATTTAAATTTTCAACAAGTACAATTTTTCTATATACTTATATGCCAACTTTGTCAAAAATTATTCTTTTCTCAAACCACAAAAAATAGTACCCATGTAAATAAATAAATCCACAGCATCAAGTAGTCACTATAAATTTTAAATCAGTAGTAATTCAGCATTCAGTTTTAATCATAAGATATTCTAGTTTTTGTGTCACCCATGACAGATGTCACAGAATGTTAGACATAGGGAAGCTAATCCAGAGGCCATGGCATAAACCATTTGTAGTAACTTTTATATTTCAGATGGTTAAATAGTTGGATAATCAACATCTGGTTTAAATATGCTTAATGGTTTGAAGTTTATGTCTATTCACTGACCTCATTTATTATAGTTCAGGGACGGCTTAAAAAAAACATGATTTTTTATGCCCCATCTATGATAGTAGAGGGGCATAATGTTTTTTGGTCTGTGCGTCCGTTCATTTGTCTGTCCGTCCGTCCGTCCGTCCTGCTTCAGGTTAAAGTTTTGGTCAAGGTAGTTTTTGATGAAGTTGAAGTCCAATCAACTTGAAACTTAGTACACATGTTCCCTATGATATGATCTTTCTAATTTTAATGCCAAATTAGAGTTTTGACCCCAATTTCACAGTCCACTGAACATAGAAAATGATAGTGTGAGTGGGGCATCTGTGTACTATGGACACATTCTTGTTTTCAGTTATTATGAGTAATAGGACAACTATATTTGATATAAAGATACATGTCATGGTTCACCTTACCTTGACCTCTTTTCATGAATCAGTTATCAACGTAAATTTTTGTGATTTAAGTCTTGAGTCCTATTAAGTAATAAATTTATAGAATGATTGTAGTGTTCAATTGATCTTGACCACATTTTCATTTGTTTATTTGTCAACAATAAGTTTAGTGATCAGGGCCATTTTTCATTAACTAAAAGTAATAATAGGTCTACTTTATTCAGTGTATAGATTGATTATAAACTGTACATGTCCATCTGACAGGGTCCCTCTGATCTTGACCTAATTTCCATGGATCATTGATAATGTTAAGTTTATGTGACAACTGTCATAAGATAGAGATCTTTAAGGCTTTTAATATAAAATTCAATCATTAGTAAAGCTGGTGAGACTTTCATTGTGTTCACTCTTAATTATGTTATAACTGGGAATGCAAACTGACATTACTTCAGCTAATTGTTGTGTTATAGCTGGTAAACTTCAGAAGACTGTAACTCATTATTTTTGTCTTATAGTTGGGACACACAAGGAGACTTCACTACAACTCATCCTCTGCCAGTAGTGAAAGTTAAATTGTACACAGAAAGTTCTGGAATGCTGAGTCTAGAAGATAAAGAATTAGGAAGGGTAAGTAGTTTGTTTCATCCTCGAAACTGAAAGCAAGTCTGGGTTAACTGGAGTCTAAAGAAGAAAGAATTATAATTGTTATTATCCAGGTGAAGTGAACAAAAAAGAAGAATGGTTCATTTTAACTAGCAATACTCTGATTTAATTGTTTTTATCTTGTGTATGAACTGGAGAAAAGTCTAGGATGATCTTGTGTATGAACTGGAGAAAAGTCTAGGATGTTCTTGTGTATGAACTGGAGAAAAGTCTAGGATGATCTTGTGTATGAACTGGAGAAAAGTCTAGGATGATCTTGTGTATGAACTGGAGAAAAGTCTAGGATGATCTTGTGTATGAACTGGAGAAAAGTCTAGGATGATCTTGTGTGTGAACTGGAGAAAAGTCTAGGATGATCTTGTGTGTGAACTGGAGAAAAGTCTAGGATGATCTTGTGTATGAACTGGAGAAAAGTCTAGGATGATCTTGTGTGTGAACTGGAGAAAAGTCTAGGATGATAGAGAATTATAAAAAGGCAGCAACAATTGTTGTGTTATCTTTCTACCTTATCTCCCTTCCCTTCATTAGTAAAGTAAATAATCTAATAAAGAGAGTCAGTGTTGTGCAACTTATTGTTCAGCTATTTTACTTATTGTTCAGCTATTTTATTCTCCAAACCACTCCCCCCCCCCCCCCCCACCTAATTGAAATTTATTGAAACTCTTGCAAAATCTTTACCAAATAATGTCATTGTTACCATCTACTTTGTTATCCACATTATTTTCGGTGTCTCCCCTTTTCAGAAAGTCATTTGCTTTGCCATTCCTGCTTTGCTCACAGTATCTTTAGTTTACTTTTTATATGCATGACATGCTGTGCCATCCAAAGGGCTGACAAAATACTGTCACCTGGACTTCTACCATTGGCATTTGGCAGTAAATCTGTTACTAAAGGAACATCAATTTGGGTGTGTTGGATGTATACATATTCAGTCATGTCCTGGTGTTGAATTGGGACTTAAATATGAGGCCTTGATTTTGGAGAGTTTCTGCACTTCTATGAACACATGCATGATATACTTTGCAGAAAATAAGTAATGGATTTACTGTTAATTTGATCTTGTTTTAAATATGCATTGAATGTTCGTTACAGGATGGTTAACAAACAACAATCAAGATATATTTTAATCATTGGAGTGCATGATTAATGTTTATTGACTCTTATTATGGAACTTGTCAAAACTCTGCAGTATTTTTATATGTAAAATAAAAGACACTTATAAGGCATAATAAGAATCAAAAATCATCAAATAATGTACTTGTTATTTGATGACCTGATAAAAGATTGAAAATTTCCTGAGTGCAACCTTTAAACATCATGTGAGTTAATAGCTATGACAAGTTAGCTGATTTGCTACCATATAATAAATGCTAAAACTTTTGAAGTTATCACAGAATGAATATGACAGGAATTACACCAGATAAATGTAATCAATGTGTGGTTTATCAAAACTTATCAAACTGGTCAGAAGTTGTTTAAATACATACAGAATCAGATGAAATGTTTTAACAATATTTACAGGTTGTAATTAGACCTACAGCTAATAGTAGTAGACAGGCAGAATGGCATAAAATGGAAACTAAAAATACCACAGATGTCTTAACTATAAAAATAGCAGTCAGAATGGATAAACCACAAAATATGAAACATTGTGGGTGAGTTTTTGAAACACAAACCCCCAACAAAATATAAAACATGATAAGTGGTTTATTGTTTAACATGTCCGTCCACAAACTAAACTCTAGTTTTCTCCCTTGATTTTGCTGTTTATTGTGCATTCTATAGAAAAATATCAAGAAGTGTTTTGATTTTAGGATAGAAACACTTGATTTTGCTTTTCACATAGAATCCCTACATTACAACTTCTAGTTCTGATTGATGTTGTATTCCAACCTTATTGCACCCACTTACTGATATTTAATTAGAAGGAAATTAAACTTTTATTTCCGTGAAAAAATTCACTCCTTAATATCTGAAGAAAGGGATAACAATTCCTAGAACTTTGTAAGAAAACCATGATTTTTGATCAATTAAGTTGTAGGTGGTCGGAATGAAAGAATTTATAGCCTGTAGAAGATCTATTAAGTTCCAGTAATGGGTTTATATAAGGAAGCAAACTGTTTTTGATGCCCATTACAAAGGAAGAGTAATAGTTATAGTCTGAGTATTCTGTCTTATAGCTTTCTTCAAACATCTATTTTGTTTAGGTTAATCAGTTAGATTGATATAAAGGTAGCATCAATTTTAAACCTAGACATCAAGCAGCTCTTTTTGTGGAAAATCTTTAGAGTGAAATTGATCATATGGCTCTGAATGGCTCATATTTTAAAGAGAGATTTTTGTCGAGCCTTCGACTTTAGTCGAAAAAGCGAGACATAGCGATCCTACATTCCGTCGGCGTGGGCGGCATCCACAAATATTCACTCTTTGGTTAAAGTTTTTGAAATTTTAATAACTTTCTAAAAATATCCTGGATTTCTACCAAACTTGGACAGAAGCTTGTTTATGGTCATAAGATAGTATCCAGAAGTAAATTTTGTAAAAAAAAAATTTCATTTTTTCCGTATTTTACTTATAAATGGACTTAGTTTTTCTGTCAGGAAACAATACATTCACTCTGTGGTTAAAGTTTTTAAAATTTTAATAACTTTCTTAAACTATCCTGGATTTGTACCAAACTTGGACAGAAGCTTGTTTATGATAATAAGATAGTATCCAGAAGTAAATTTGTTAAAAACAAAATTTAATTTTTTCCGTATTTTACTTTTAAATGGACTTAGTTTTTCTGCCAGGAAACAATACATTCACTCTGTGGTTAAAGTTTTTAAAATTTTAATAACTTTCTTAAACTATCCTGGATTTGTACCAAATTTGGACAGAAGCTTGTTTATGATCAAAAGCTAGTATCTAGAAGGAAATTTTGTTAACATTTGTACCTGTTTATCCGTATATTACTTATAAATGGACTTAGTTTTTCTTCCAGTTAACATTCTGCAGTTAAAAGTTTTTAAAACATTTATTAGATTCATAAACTATCCTGGATTTATACTAAACTTTGACAGAAGCTTCTTACAATCAAAAGATAGTATCTAAAGGAATATTTTTATTGATTTTTTTCCTCATTTTTGTTGAGCCTGCGATTAACAGAAAAAGTAGGCGAGACCCTGCGTTCCGCGGAACCCTTACAAATTTTTTTCATAAGATTTGTATTGTGAAATATTTTTCAGACATCAAAAAAGAATTTCTGTTTCAGAAGTGGACTTAGAAAAAGAATATAGCTAAAACAGCATGAAAGCATTATGTTCCTGTCTGTTGTTGCCATAAAAAATGTTATATTCTTATTAATCCTCTCCTTTTATTATTTTCAATATATATATGCCACACAACCAAGTAACATTTAGTGACATGAGATCATATTCAAATTTCAAAAAATTCCTTGGATGAGTTCAATTATCAGAATTTTTTTTAATGGGAAACTTTTTTTCAGGAGGGGGACTTGTAGAATTTTTCATGCTAATTCTTATTGCGGGGATAGCGCTTCATTTCTTCTCAAACTCTTCAAATTTGTGTGAAGGTTTCCACTTATCAAAATGGTGAACTTGACACTGATATAGATCCCTCATGGATCCCTTCGAATCTGTATGAAGGTTTCCACGTTCATATTCACTGTTAGTAAAATCTTGGTTTATAAATAAAATCTCTTGAAATAGCACTGTTTTCATTAATATTATTGGGCATATCCTCGGACCCAATTTAGCAAGTGAGTGCCCCAAAAGTTTTTACCTATATATTATACACAGAGGAAGAGATTATAACATTTTTGGTTTTTGGATTACTATGACTTTTTATTTATGTTTTAACAATATAAGTATGTCAGGAACTGTCCTTTGACATGCAGTTTGGGGAGCATAGGACCTTTTGTTGGTCATATGACCAAAACTTTCTACTAAGATTTACAGAAATTAAAATTAACTTGTAGAAGACTACTGTATGAAGATATCTTGGAAAACAAAACTGGCTATACATTGTTGTAGGCAGTATGGTGACCTATAGTTGCCTTAACCCACATCATTAGGACTCCAGCTGATAGTTGTCTCATTGACAATCATTCTACATCTCCATATTTTATAAAGTGAATATTTCATTGTTTTTTGTACTATATTTTTTTCACAAATGACAAATGTGTTATTTTTTTAATTGATTTTTTTTTTACAGTTATTTATATGCAATTGGTAAAAATGTATGGAAGAAATGGAAAAAGAGATACTTTGTTTTAGTCCAGGTAAAAAAAAACATTTTGTTATTATCCATCCCTTTATTCCTTAAAGCTTCTTTCTTGGTGAATAGATTAAATTATTGGTTTTCACAATAGAAAGTCAAACAAACTTTTAAATGGCTCATTGACATGAATATGATTTGCATCTTTTTATCTAAGATGTACTGGGATGGCAGGTGTTCAGAAAATAGTTAATTATAATCCTGGTATCTTTGATGAGTTTTGTATGAAATGAAATGGCATTGAAATTTATGGGGAAAATGGAAATACAATGTACTGTGTAATCTAGGAGGCAATAAATTTATGGGGAAAATGGAAATACAATGTACTGTGTAATCTAGGATGCAATAAATTTATGGGGAAAATGGAAATACAATGTACTGTGTAATCTAGGATGCAATAAATTTATGGGGAAAATGGAAATACAATGTACTGTGTAATCTAGGATGCAATAAATTTATGGGGAAAATGGAAATACAATGTACTGTGTAATCTAGGATGCAATAAATTTATGGGGAAAATGGAAATACAATGTACTGTGTAATCTAGGATGCAATAAATTTATGGGGAAAATGGAAATACAATGTACTGTGTAATCTAGGATGCAATAAAGTCATAATTATGTTTGAGACAATAATTTCTCAAAGAAAATGTAGGTTATTATAATGAATAACCAATCAACACATGTGTTTACAAATGGTCTTCACACATAATGAATTGTGCAAGAACATTTTTTTTTCTCAGAAAATAGCAGTTACATCTTGATACGGGATTGGCATATTTAATTGAATAACTGTTCTGTTTGTAGGCCTTACATATTTGTCATGTGAAGCTATTTACTTATAGGTGTTCTAGTTCTCATTGGCCATTTATCACTATAGATATCTTATGTTTTTAGGTTTCACAGTATACATTTGCCATGTGTAGCTATAGAGAAAAGAAACCAGACCCTACAGAAATGATGCAATTAGATGGTTTTACTGTTGATTACTGTGAACCATTACCTGGTAAATAGGATATAAATAAAAAGAAACCTGGGATCAACCTCAATGAGACAGCAACCCAGTAACACAAATATACCAAAATTAATAGATACTTTCAAAAATTGTAATTTTTTTTTGTCTTGCCTGTAATGAAGTCACAGAAGGCAAGACATAGGTGTTGCTTTTCTGGTATTATTAACAATTGTTAAATTATCTGCTTAAGTCAATTTGATAGGAACTACTTGTGATAGATCAATGATATTTTCTATATATAAATAAAGTTCCATTACTATCAGTACATACCAGTTTGACAGTTTGACAACCATTTTGAGACCGTGCACCCTAGGTCATGGTAGGGACTCTGTGGGAACGTCACGTCAATAAACTCATATCTGCCGTAATGCATAATTAGTGTTATCGACGTTGGTAAAGATTACAAAAAAAAAACTTTTTCATTCGATGTTAGTTAAAAATAAAATATCACAGGAAACTTGAATTTTAGCTCTTCAAACTAGTCTAAAAGTTATAGACTTTACCTTTTTGTATCTGTATTTCATAACAATGTGAAAATCGGTAATATTATCCACAACGTTTATTTTTCGCTGTCATATGCAACAATTTAACATCCTATCGGGACCTAGCGCTATTTATAGAATCGTAAACAGACATCAAAATTTTGCATGCATCATCCTGAAGTTGAGAACAGTAAAATTTTGTAGGTATCCTAATCCAATTTCGTCAATAAGGTGTCTAATTTTGAAGAAAATCAACAAAATTTTTAGTTTTCCCCGAACAGATACCCCATGTTCACATATTTTTCAAGGATCCATCGCTCCTCGCAATCTACAACATATTATCTTTACAACAATGTCCAGTTTATGTAAATGTGTTACGAATTGACGAGGCGCCAGTGCGTCAAAGGCGGCAAGGTCCAGCATTAAAAGAACCAAAAAAGCGCCGTAACGTTAGATTTATTTAACTGTTCACATCATCATGCAGTCAGTTAAACTTTCAATTTCTGCTAAAAATTTACACTGATGAACGTAATGGTTGCGTTATTCACGATCCATTGTTGTCAATTAATCAGATTATAAATTCGAATTCATATTTACTTGCACAAATACGACAAAGATTCGCTCGAAAACTAACTTTATGAAATATTGTCATTATAGATACCTGATAAGGGTTAATTCCCTTTGTTTATAAAAAATAGTTTGAGGTACTGTGCAGGATATTCTGTACACTTGAATTCACATAACTTAATAAAAATTGTAATGCAATAGTAAGAGTTAAGTAATTTATTTACTCAACCAATTAATACTTTTCTTTAAAGAAAAAATATATTATTATAATTGAATTCAAACAAAATATGCAATACAAGCGACGTAAAATGTTTCTATTTTAAAACTTAGAATGGTCCAGGTTTTGTAAAAAATGTTGAAAAAAACCCACAATTTATCGATTCAGAAGAATGATCCAAAAACGGCGGAATCTTTTGCCATCCATCGTTTTAAATACGTGTGTTTTTGCCGCCGAACATGCGCAGATTTATTTTCATATCTAAATATAACATTCACTTGAAGAAAGATCGATTCAAATCAGATCGATCTTTTTAAAACCACCTCTAGAGGTGGACTTTTTAAGTCCGATTGAAGATCGATCTTTCCCGTTTACATTAGACTAAGGATCGATCTTTTTAAGATCTTTCCCGTTTACATTAGACTAAGGATCGATCTAAAAAGATCGATCTCAAGAAAGATCGATCTTTTTTACAAGTGTAAACGGGGTATTAGAAAGTTACATAAATGTTTCCAATAAAAAAACACTAAACCACTCACTAAATTCATTTCGAAATTGCAAAATTGCTGCACTTATTTGAACCAAACGTATGTCAAAGTGTTACATGTATATGTTTAAAATCTAACAACATTTATCAAGTTGAATTAAGATTTTTTACCACGATACAGTTTATATCAATGTGATTTAGATTTACATGTAACAGCGTTCATTCATAATAATATCATTTTTAAAACTATATATCCCTGAAAATCTTAAAGTTCCTTTTAAATTATATATTATATATATTATATATAAATTAAAGAAAGTTGTATTGAATCTAGCTGTTTTTAACCCAGATATAATGTTTCTAAGCTCGAACATTTTGTAACTTGAATTAAAAATATGCACGGCTATACTATCCCTTTTCCAAAACCAAATTGTTGGCCCAGGTTTTTCGGACGTAAGCCCCTTATTGAGGTGGCTGTACTTTAGCTGTTTGGTATATCGGATGCATAAATACGAAGCAACAGTATGTCAACTTTAAATGTGAAGCCTTGTTTGCGGAGAGCATTTATCTTTCTGCAAGGCAAATCCACACACATACTTAACAATCCCGCTATAACGTTTGAAGTTTTAATTTCCTGCCCTTCATTCCGCGATCCTCTATTTTTGAAGACCATAAATAAATGGATAACTTAATTTGCTAACGTATTGAGCATATATGAAATGTTAACCACTGGACATTAAGCCAATTATAATTATAAACCACATATCGTGTCATGTATAAAGATCAATCTTTTCTTAGCTGGTTTGACTCCTTCATGTGAAATAGTTGTCGTTTTCATCCACCACCATACGGATTTATTCAAATGCATGCATTGTAATATTTCGATTAAATATTTAAATAAAATAACATCTTATTATTCAACAAGTTTTTTTACTTGGAGGTTACAAATCCGAAGTATTCTAGAGTCTAAATCAATACATATTGAAGATTTTACAAAAAAAATTACACATATCTATCTATTAATTCAAAAGGTTATTCAGTGCTATATATTGTTGTAGGGGACAGTTTTAAAACAGTATGTATAAAAAAAATATTATAAAATGATATTCAAAATTTTGCATTGAAAGACATCCTTAAAATAACTAAAATGATTTGTATCTGAAATACAAGAAGGAGCGTTACTTTGGAGTTTAGTGTTGCGTCCTTTTCGATGAAGTAGTATACATTATTATTGAGGGGCCAGCTGAAGCCCGCCTCCGGGTGCGAGATTTTCTAACTGTGTTGAAGACCCATTGGTAGTCTTCGGCTTTTTCCTGATCTTTGGTCGGGTTGTTGTCTCCATGGCCATCCCCGTTTCAATTCTCAATTTTATTGGTTTTGGTAAAGTATGCTTTTTTCTTCATTGTTGTGGTACAAATGTACATGTGCATACTTGTAACAATCTACCTAAGTTGCAGCTATGACCCATAATTAGGTGATATGTTTTTAAAGAAATGTCACAATGTTGTGGTTAAGACCTCCAAAGTATACACAAGAATTATTGATAATGATGAAGACTCTTCGGAAATTGTCCGGATGTCTAATATATTCAGGGAAATTTAGCTCTATTTTTTTCAGAAGAAGATACCAACATAATAATATCTGAACATTAAATTAGATTAATTCATAACATATAATGAAATTGTTCATATTTTAAGTCCATATTTTGAATTGCATGTAAGGAAGAGTGCCTGAACATATATATGTTACGTATATACAGGCCTGTGTTATTCTCATTTTCTGTACATACAAGACATGTACAGTAGCATGTCTTCATCCTTGAACCCCAAAGGTGACTGGTGGTATAGAAATATGGTTTTCCTCCGACCACAAGTAAAACCCTTGGCAAAGTGGAGCATCCGTTTGGTTGTGCGGGATGTGTGAATACGCAACCACGTCCGGTTAGAATAGGGACGAATTGAGGCCTCGTGAAGAGAGAGTACCACGCTCCCGCACGTTAAGAATTTTTGCAGCAACTCTTTTATGGGTCCGTGGGTAGCCTGATGCAAGGGAGAAAATTCATGCCCTATCCATTATACCCACATTTTCAGCTGGTGACTGTTGAAATTCCCCTCCTTTTCCCCGGTCGATCCCTATTACAGAACCAAGCTATTACATCTATTTATATTTTGTTCTCATCCTGAACGTGTTTGAAATATTTGCCACTGGACATGAAACAAATTGTCAATAATTTTTTTATCTTGGCTCATGAATGAAAGGAGATGTATAAAGTAACAAGACAGCAACGTAACCACAAAAATAATGAGAAATAATAATTAAAAACACAAATCCAGGCACGTATCATATTTATTATGCACATAATTTGTTTTTCATATTCACTGCTAATTATAACTCAAAAGCGTCAAAAAGAAAGACAAGCAGCTTTGCTTCAAGTTATGATTTTGTATGCTTAATTTATTGTTTCCGTCTGAAATCTGGAAATCTTTATGGTTGATGTAGAGGGTTTCACATAGAAAGGTGGATTGAAAATAATTTTTCTTTGATTTTATCATAATAAAAAAATGGTAGAAATATGGGGGGATCAGTTCTTTCCTGGACCTTAGACAAACTGACTTGTGCATCCAACAATGGTAGCCTTATTAAACACTTGCTACACTTCTAAAACAAGAAACTACTATTTGTGTAAATCATATGGTCAAATAGTAAGTACATGGAAATTAAAAATTCAAAACATTTGAAAATTTCGTTTTTTAATGTTTTGTGCTAACTTGTACAGTTTCCCGTATTTTCCTGTGCGAAATAAGATTTTCACGTACAATGGTCATACGCTATAAAAAATAGTTAGTTTTTGCATCCTTTCTGCTCATTTTGTGTATGATGTGTGCTGCGGTAGTTATATTACTAAGTTTTTAAGTATGTTTTTATTGTAAATTGGAATGTTGGCAGACAAAAGGTATATATTCATGAATATCAGGCAGATGCTTGGGGTCAAAGGTCAAACATGAAAATGAAAACTCTTGTCCTAGTATATTTCTACCACATATATATTTCAAATAATAAATGATTTTTGTGTATTTTTTTCAATATAAAAAATCCCACAGAGTCCCTAGTCATGGTCCAGCCACTTTAAAAATTAATTAGCAATTTCAATGTTAAGTGTTCTGCTTAAGTTATTTTGATAGTAACTACTTATGATAGATTAATGATATTTTTATATTTTTATAAAGTTGCATTACTATCAGTACATATCAGTTTGACAACTATTTCAAGGCCCAGCCCACTAGGCCATGGTCCAGTGACTTTGAATTAATTAGTAATTTTCAGTGTCAAGTTTTCTGGTTAAATCAGTTTGATATGAACTACTTGTGATAGATCAATGATATTTTCTATAAAGTTGTACTACTATCAATACATATCAGTCTGGTGACTATTTCGAGGCCCTGTCCACTAGGTCATGGTCCAGTGACTTTCAGTTATTTAGCAGTTTTCAATGTAGTTTGTCTCAAAATTTTCTGCCATCAGGCAAGACATATCTCAATGTCATCAGTTTATTTTTATAAAGTTTGAGCTGTTTAGATTTAATCAATTGTTATTTTTTTGATAGAAAAATACCTACCTGCATCTGTATATCTGAATTGCATTAAGTTTGCTCAACAACTATGATCTCTATTCAAGCACAAACACAAAATATAGAATATTTTCCATCAAACATTAAAGTACAAAATGAAAACTGCAACAGTAAGAAAATAAACAATACAATATGTTATATCATATACCCTGTTATACTGTCAAAAAAGGTTTAATGATGTTATATCACTAAAGTTTCACATATAATTTGTCAAAGACACAAGACATAATTAAAACAATAATAGTTTTACATATAAGCTATTTGAACAATAAAAGTATAAAGATTCTCAGTTTATATAGTATTTACATCAAGTGGCTTTCAACGGGAAAAGTGCCCAAATTCATACGACAATTCCCAGATATGTGTTTTTAATTGATAATTTTGAGCTGAATACTTACATCTAAGGAAAATCATTTCACAACATGATAAATATATTTCAGAAGGATATTTGAACATCTCCAAACTTAAACATAGGCAGGAAGTGATTTGTTAGTTTGTATGATTTCATGAATTATAGATTTAGCTTCTTAAAATAATTCTAAAGGAAACAACATTGTACAGGGAAAAATTGTTTTACCATTACAGATGTTGAGGGTGGGAAATATTTTTATAACACTGTTAAAGAAGGGGACAACGTAGTGTTAGCTACAATTGATGAAAATGAAAGAACGCTATGGGTGCAAGCAATTTACAGAGCAACAGGACAGACGCATAAACCTGTCCCTCCGGTTATACAGACAAACAGAATCTCTAATACTCAAATATCAAGGATGCAAGGCGGTAAGTCTATAAAGTTACAAATAGACCCGTCCCTCATGCTATACAGACAAATAGACCAATCCCTCATGTTATACAGACAAATAGACCAGTCCCTCATGTTATACAGACAAATAGACCCGTTCCTCATGTTATACAGACAAACCCGTCCTTCATGTTATACAGACAAATAGACCCGTCCCTCGTGTTATACAGACAAATAGTTTTCAAGTTATCGAGAATAAATAAAGAACCTTTTCCTCATATTCTTGGTTCATTGAATTTGATAAAGTTTGAATGTAGTAAGGTCTTTATCTCAGAGGATTCAGCCACCAAACATTAGGAGTAGGAACAATGGCTGGTTTGTTTGGAGTCAGGATGACATGTCTCCCTGCTGACTGTTACGTTATAAGTTAGCACATAAAAAGGAGTTGTTCTGGTACAAAGCAGGGTATATTCTTATCTTAACATGTTATCCAGATTTATAAACATGTAATATTTTCTGCTGCATATTAAACAGCCATTAAACAAGTAATGAAAGATTGTCAACACATTATTGAGTAATTATCAATTAAACTGGCAAGGGTTTTCAGTATATAAACTTGTTTAATATCAATATAATATTGTTAACTTTACAAGTTCAAGGAAAAGTTGATGCTATTAAGTGGAAAAAGCTGGTTTAAACATGTGTCTTTCTTATTATTTTCATCAAATTTCTTTTACTAATTGGAATTTATATGAAATAAATTGAATGCCTCATTTGACATTATGAAATATAATCGTTGAAATATTGTCAAACCTGTATTTGAAGGCCAAATAAAAAAAAAAATGATTTCATTAGCTATGAAAAGCTTAAGACTGACTGTGGTAGAAAGAGATGAGTTCCTGGACTTGTCCAAGCTTTTTTTGAGAACTCATTATTCAAGGATTGCCCTACAAAATGCATTTTTAAATTCCTCTGGTGATAAAATACAACTGCTAGCGACATATCTCTGGCACTACTATTCTTCCCATGTCACAATATTCATAATTTTCTGGATTATTTGAACATTTTATCATGTTTTCATCAATTACAGATGCTGATCGAGCAAAGAAACATGGATTAGATGAATATGTCCAGGCCAACCCTGCTGAGTTTGACCATCATGAATTGTTCTTAGTGATGCAAACATTAACCCTTGACTATAGACTAAGTGATGCATATACATGTCTGGTGAGTTTTCATAGCTTTTGTAAACCATCCAAACTATATTTATCATTTTTTTTAAGTCATTAAAAGGAACTGATCTGATATGCTTGTCACAAATAAAATCATAAAAAATTACTAGTTAGTTTTATACAATTTATTTTGAAATGTGTTTGTGAAATTAGAAATTTTAGCCTTGTCAAACATACTCTTGTAGGATCTACTTACAGTCTTTTGCTTATCTTACAGAATTTCAATGGATTTAGATTGTTAGCTTGAAATATTTGTTAAAGGGCTTAAAAAATTGCTCTGCATTGGTACAAACCAGTTCTACTCCCCAGCAAAAGGAAATAATTGTCCCCCGCGTAATGCGTTGCGGGGGACATGGAAATACCGGACGTCTGTCCGGTCTTGTTAGCGCTCTCACAGCTACAATTCTTGCCAGATTTTTATAAAACTTATACTATAGGTTAATATCAGCAATATCTCGGACAAGTTCTATAATGGTGGCCAATTGACTTTTTTAAAAAGAGTTATTCCCCTTGGAAATATTAAATTTATGGAAAATGGCCCCGTTAACGCTCTCACTGGTACAATTTTTTGATAGATAGATTTTTGTAAAACTTATACTATAGGCTAATATCAGCAATATCTCGGACAAGTTCTATAATGGTGGACGATCGACTTTTTTTGTAAAAGAGTTATGCCCTTTGGAAATATAAAATATGTGCAATGCAGGGGACATTGGAACTCTGTTCTGTTATTCAGATTATCATTTTTAAATCACATTCATGGTAACGACTTAGCAACATCTGTGTTTTTTTATTTGACTCTATAGGGATGGTTTAGTCCAGGACAAGTGTTTGTATTAGATGAATATTGTGCTAGATATGGTGTACGAGGATGTCATCGACACCTGTGTTATTTAAGTGACCTGCTGGAGAGAGCAGAGAATGGTATTCTGATAGACCCAACATTAATTCACTACAGCTTTGCTTTCTGTGCTTCCCATGTGCATGGTAATAGGTAAGTTATGTAAAGGGAAGGGAACATGTTTCTAGTGGATAATGTGGACATGTGACCTGCAAAAGAGTTTCCTTTATATAAATAAATTAACATGCAGTTTCCATCTGTGTTTCCAATGAACTTTTATAATTGATTATATCTTGAGTTTGCCTCAACCAAATGTTATGAAACTATACACAATGCTTATTACCACAAAACTCAGATCAAATAAGAATTCTGGTGGTGTCACTTTTACCGTTCTCGAGTTATGCCCCTTTATAACGTTACATTTAAGCAGGGCTTTATCTGTGTTTTTATGGACACACTCTCCATTTATTTTATATAGTTTATTGAACAGTAGAACCACAACAATTTAAGCTGTCACTATTTTAGCATTTTAATACAGTGTGGCACTTCAATATTTCAGGCCTGATGGTATTGGTACAGTTTTACTCAGAGAAAAAGAAAAGTTTGATGAAATTAAAGAAAGACTTCATATACTCCTTGAGAAACAGATAACACATTTTAGGTAAGTATTGTCACATTTTCCAAAAAAAAGTTGCAATTACAAAAAACTGTTATTCATCAGATTCTCTGAGCTTAAATTGCTTAAATGATGGACAGGACTGAAATATAAATTACCTTCTACTAGTGCATTTAGTGAAATATGACAATTTGCTACTTCACAGACAGAAAAATATTTTAAATTAAACTGATGCAATTAAAGAATTGTTGTATCTAACCAAAAAACAATGGTAGAAACTTTTCTGTTATGTGTTTAGACAGTGGAGATAATGTGTCCATTAAAGTACTAAGTAAGTGTTGCTTTAAACTAAATGAGACACTTCTTCATGATAAAAGTCTTATTTGTTCAAACATAAAGATCTTCAAATAATTGCTATGTAGTATAACTTACTTGTGTTCATATAATTTAGGGAGTTTTATAATGTACAAATTGATAATTGAAACTATTATTTGTACAGAGTTTTTGTATACGTTCTCAGTATTTCTCAAACCTCTGAACTTAGTTGGATAAAACAAGCACACTGTCTTTGATTTTGTTTATCACTGTCATATTTAAATGACTACGATGCTTCAGACTTATACAGAACAATGATGCAAAGTTAATATATGGACACTAAAAGATATTGGGGAATCTGGTTTTACCAAAGAATAAAATCTAAACCAATCTAGTGTCTTTTTTGCTAAAATATCAAGCTGCTTAATTGTTGAAGATAAACTTGTATCAACTTGTGAAAGAAGGTGTGTGTCAAAATTCTGATAACTTCTACAAATATCAGAACAAATATAAACTTGTACAAAATTGAAACTTTTATAGTAGAACATATATAATATTAAAAGTCGCAATGTAACAGCTGTCTACCTACATTTTTCATCTGATTTTAATGAAATGTGTGTCAAAGGTAAAAAGAGGGACATTGGCTACCTTGTAGCAGTTTTGGTTGTCAGGAATAACATCCTTTTAGATAGAATGAATGCTGTTGCACTAAGAATTAGGCAGGAATGAGTTTACATCTTGCTGACGCACAGTGATAGCTGAAAAGCTGTTTGAAAATACATGTATTATTACATCATCTTTGGAAAAGCTGCCTTTTATACACAGACTTATCTTTGTATTCCTTCTAAAATTTAAATCTTTGATTGCTTCTTATTTTATTTAAGAAATTTAGGTTAAAAAGAATTAAGTAAAACAAAAAAGTTCCATGATAAATTATTTTCACTGAATATTCATTTTTGTAGAATAAGAGTAATTAAGATGTATTCAATGTTTTAAAGTTATAATATATCTGATATATATATATGTAGGTACTGCTTTCCATTTGGTAGACCAGAGGGAGCTCTGAAAGCTACATTATCATTATTAGAAAGGGTAGGTACTTCAGACAAAGATTACTTTAAATGTTTAAGTACATTTTATGTAAACACAATATCTCTTTAATAATGATGCCATCCAAACCTTATGGAAGAAAACTGACAGATTATGTGAATTTTAACCAATATGTTCCTTAAATAAATGCTTTGGAAAAGAGATTTGTACAAATGTCAAGTATGGAAAAGAAGTAAGGTATATGAAATCATCCTTTTTATTTTATTGTCTGTTTAATTTTTTATGACAAAACAAAACTGAAAATGTTTGTTCCTAACAATGAAGTTTTGGGGTTCAGATTGCAAATTGCAATCAAATCCCTGATTCAATGGCTGGGCTGGTTAGCTATATTTCAATCATTCTGCCTGTGCTTGTGGGTACTTTGCTTTTAATACAAATGCAATGTTTAAAATTTTAGTTCCCTTGCAAAATGATAGCAATCTTTATCCTCTCATTAGTTACAAGCACTTTGATTGTTAATCTTAGGAATAAAGCTATAAAAAAATGTTATGAGATCTTAAATGTTAAATATAGTTTCTTTCTTTACCTGTCATTATAAGTCTGGCATAACAAATTATAAGCCTGGTATTTTGATGAGTTTTACTGAACTCATATTTATGTCAATCTGTCCATCTATTCATTCTATGCATTTATTTATCTGTTTGCTTATCTACAATGCAAATGTTTAAATAGCTCCCAAATTTCCATCTATTCAACAAATAAATTTTTATTAAGATTGGTTAATATGAGTTCCTTTTTGGTTTTTGTCTCGCCTGCGAAGAAAGTCGCAGCAGTTTGTTGCAGTATAAGAGACATAGGGATTACTGTCCAAAGCTTTATATTTCAGAAGGTAAAAGACCTGGATGCTTCATATTTTGTATGCAGATACCTTATGTTACGAAGTTTCCGTCTGTCATATGTCCATTCTCCATGACCTTATTTTCATGATTCAGTGACTGCTTGAAAAAAAAATTTCTGTCATGGTAATTTCTCACTTATGATGAGTAATATGATAACTATGTTAAATATTTATGGGTTTCTTGCAATGTCCATCAGACATGGTTCACTTGATCTCGACCATTTCATGGATCAGTGATTAAGGTTAAAGTTACATGATTAGGTTTGTTTCTCAAATACTATAAGCAGTAGGTCAACTATATGTGGTGTATGGAATGATCGTTAGGGGCTCATGTCAGTCTGGCGGGTTTCATCTGACCTTGACCTCATTGTTCATTGGTCAATGTTAAGTTTTTGTGTTTTTGTCAAGTGTACATATCTGTCTGGCAGTTATCATCTGACCATGACCTCATTTTTAATGGTTCATTGTTCAATGATAAAGTTTTTGTGTTGTGGTCTGTTTTTTAATAACCATAAGCAATAGGTCAACTATATTTGGTGTATGGAATAATTGTAATGTATACATGTCTGTCTGACAGGATTTATTTGACCTTGACCTTATTATCATGGATCTAAAAAATGTTAAAGTTTATGTGATACTTGTAGTTAAACCTTTATCTCCAAGACTTTCAACATAAAATCAATGATCAGTAAAGCAGGTGAGACATTTCAGCGTGTGCACACTTGTTTACACTATCTATGTTTGACATTCAAGAGTTGTCAGACTCCTATTGTGGAAAACTAAATTTCTCTACCAGAATAGTATGTTGTACTACAGGTCAGATTTCCATGAAAAAGTCTTCTGATTCCTTCAGGTTAAACATGCATTGTTTAGGAAATCAAGCAAGCCCAAAGAATTATTTCTGACAGGACCTTAAGGAAAACTGCATGTTCAGGCAAATGGGTTGGCTAAAGTTGCAAACAACATGCTAGCTTTCTTTCTGCATACTTGGATTACATGTTAAGACTGCAAATTGAATTAAAAATGTTCTTTTAAAGTTCTTAATTCAAAATCCAGCCTTTACCTGTATGGCTTATTAATTTTTTGAGTTTTGATGAAGTACATCATCATGTCTTCATCATATTCGTTTAGTTGTGGTGTAAGTGAATTTTCAGGTATTGATAAATAGTCACATCTTTAGTTTCTTGTAATAAGATTAAATTTTCAGGTGTTGATGAAAGATATTGTAACACCTGTACCACCTGAGGAAGTGAGAAATGTCATCAAAAAATGTTTAGAAAATGCTGCTTTAGTCAACTATACAAGAATTTCAGAGTATGCCAAAATAGAAGGTAAGTGAACTCTGACTTTGATCTTGTGACGTATCGAGATAATTTAGATGTGATTTATTATCTGGAAAGAACATACAACTGTTGAAAGAATTATTTCGCCATAAAGAAGGTACTCTTATACATTTGGTATAGTATTATTTTCTTAGATTTGATCAAGCTGTTATCCCTAAGCTAGTCAGAAATACAAATTTCCTGAAGTATAATTATTTTTAATAAAAACAACTATTGCAACTCTCAAAGGGACGACATTTCGATTTATTAAGTAATAAATGTGAAAAAATTTATAGCTGATAAGCTTGAAAATTAGTATCAGTACAAAATTTTAAATACCTAATTATTTTTTAGAAAGGAAAAAATTATGCAGGTTTAATGTAAATACTAAGCTGCCATTTGTATTTTATGCTAATGAAAACAGGAAAGAGAGGTGAAATAAATGTCTTTTGTTCTATATTTAGAAATATTAACCACAATTTATTGTTTTTGTGTATTATGAAATAGATTATAAATCACTTTTTGTTACATATAGTTTTCATTTTGATTTTTAATGAAAAACAGATCTAGTTCTCATTTTGATTTTTAGTAATAAAACTCTTTTGGTTTTGATTTGGGATTTAAAAGTAACAGGAATATCTGTCATCAGATCAAACCATATTTATTCAAACTTAAAAAAAAAAATTTTTAGTGTACAAACGATTTATTCTAAAAAAGCTACTTTGTATTTTTGTTTGCTTTTTGTACCAATATTATCATGTGAAAGCACATGTCAATTGCAACACTTCTCCTTTCACTGTGTGATCACTTTAAGTTAATCCTATATAAGAGAAAAATTATAATTAAGAATGAATGTATATTTGCATTTGTTAATACATGTACTACTAAATCATTTGTGTGGGACACTTGAATCTGTGTAGTGTGTAAGTTCATGTGAAGTTATTTATCTGGTTCTAATACTACTGTTTTCAGATCATTTGGCTATTAAACAGAAGTTAGCTATAAAGATTGTGCATCTATGTATACTCTTTCATAAAAAATCTTTTTGGGGAATACATGTAACAGATCTATAAATATATGGACAGAAATAACCCTTAGATGGACCATAGTGTGATAAATATATCTCAATAGCATATTTTCATTTTAATTACTATCAATTAGTTCTTAGCCAGATTTTTTCCCTTGTTTCAAAAGGAATATCAGGTCTTGATCAAAAGCAGGCTGCTGATATTAGGATTAAACTTCTTTCATGCTTGGGGATCATATTTTAATCATTAATGAGAAAGTTACAAGTATTATCAGAACTTTTTGAAGAAGTGCAGTTCATGTATAGAGAAGAATTATCATGTTGCAGTCAAAACCCTAGGATATATCTATCAAATTAGGTTGGTTTTTATATAAGAAAAGAAGAGCATGTTAAAGGAAGTTAAAGGGTTTATTCCTTGAAACAAAATGTAGTAACTAACATAAGTAATAAAACAGTGTCAGATTATAATAGTTATATTACTATAAGTATTGATTTTGATATACCAGTAGTTGAGAATGATGGCCATATTTGGACAATAAATTATTGATGGGGTGGTATTGCTATAAACATGATAAAAGGAGATAAGATACATTCTAGAATTTAAGATAATATTTATTTATTACATTTTATGCTAACAGGAGCAGGTAGTGGTAGGTTATGTTTTATATACAGTTTCTAAGAACCAGTTTTTGTTAATCATGTATTTTTTATTTTCTTACAGCCCGTTCATTTGACTGTATAATACAGTTTTTAAACTTTATTTGTTATTGTCTTGTACAGAAGCTACTTAGACATGCTGTTTCACATGGGGGTGGTGGTGGAAGCACTTGATAAAGTTTGTGACTAGGTCACGCAGGCATTACATATCTCTGTAAACAGTTATTTAATTATGTAATACAGTTGGTTTATCATTTATTCACAACTAGATTTATTTCACAGTTTTAAATTATTCTTTTTTCATAACTCGTTTCTTTCGAATATGTTTTATTTACTATTCTCCTACAAAGAATCACCCTTACAATCAATCCATTTGCCTACCTGTAAATCTATCAATGCATCTTGTAAATGAGATTCCTACTTAGCCCTCAAGTAGATAGTTTACTTTAGACATGCTGTTTCCCATGGGGATGGTGGTGGCAGCCCTTGATAAAGTATGTGACTAGGTCACACAGGCATCACATATCTTTGTGTAAAGTGTTAATTTGAATAAGTAATACAGTTGGTTTATCATTTATGTACAGTTTCATTTTACAGTGCAATAGTTAAAATTTCTAACTAGTTTCTTTCGATTATGTACTATTTTATTTACTATGCCCTTACAAAGAATCACCCTTTTTATCAATCTGTGAATTCATCTTGTAAAGTAGACTCCTACTTGGCTCTCAAATAGAAAGTTTACCATATGAAGATGTGCATGAAGCAAACAAATTTAGTCCTACATCCTAAAGGGGAGATAATTTAACTAACAAAAATATTTGGTCTTTCATCACTCCTTCATACATATTATGAAACCATCATATGGATTTCTGTGAAACTTCTGAAATCTTGAGGGGAGATAATTGTATTACCAACCAATTTATTTAACACATCAAATGGTTTTAAACAAATTTGAGGCCCCACATCAAAAAAAGATATGTACCCAAGAAAATGATTTTGGAATCAGTAAATTGGTGATGCAGGGCAGGAATAGTTTTGTAAGTTTGCTCTCAGTTATATAACCTTAAGTTGAAACCAGTTTCATTTTACTGTGATATTTATTCCAAATCGTGGACAGGTACATCTGACTGTGTAATATAGTGTTGTTTATTTCTTTCTTATAGCCAGTTGTGTTTTACTGTATGATACAGTTGTTGATTTATTTGACATTGAAAAAGAATGCTTCAGTCAATTTCTTTCACTTATTTTCAGTTATTATTTCATATTTTTGTCATTTTTGTCATATTTTATAAATTTTTTCTTCACTTTGCATCATTTACAGCCTGTTTCATTGTACTGTGTAGAACTGCTGCTTTATTTGTTTTCTCAATCTACTTCCAGTTACATTATACATAATTCATTTTCTTAATGCTTTTTAAGATAACTTTTTCAAACAATTTTTTATTCTGCATTTCTGACAGTCTGACTGTTTCCCTACCATGATCTATACAAATGAATATAGATTTTAACCATTATTGTTTGGGTTTTTGGCTTGCTTTTGTACAGATTATTTTTTCAAGCACAATTTAATGTCACTCTTATAAGAAAGTCAAAAATGTTTATCTTCATCATAAAGTGTGTGCTTTAATACTATCATCTAAGAAATCTATTATGGTGTCAAGATGAAAAATAGTGATCATAGTATGAATAAGATGTGGGATGCACAGTAATCAGACAGCAACCCAATGACACAAAAAACCAAAAGACATCTCAAAATCAACATAAGTACTTCAACAATATAGACAAATGTTTATACAATATGTCAAGCTCTAAATTGACCCCAATCTAGAAAAGTTCCTTGTAATTTGTCAGTTCAGAAAATATAGATTGGATGTTTTTCTAAGACTTTCTACTCACTTATTGAATACTTTCCTTCAATTGTCTATACAAAAGTACAATTATTTATGTACCATTAATGGAAACATAAGTTATTCATTGGATTATTATCTGATTCTTGATATAATGTTATTATTCTAACATTGCATATCTGAAGCCAGCTATTCAGTAAAATAACATCTCTGAGTCATATAGACATTTTTGTCAACAATAGATTTTTATGTGCTTACTAGGAGCATGCCCAGAGAGAACTAAAGCAGAGTAAATGCTCCTCATGGAACAACTTTTTGATTTATCATGATATGTTTTATTATATAGAATCTTAAACTATAATGTTTGGCCGTAGTGGTATGAAATCATGTTCATATAATATTTGTATTTTATGTATACATAATTCGCATTCATATTCATATAGTATAAAGTTTCCCCAGTATATTAATTTTAACTTGTATAATTGTATTATGTGTTTATCATTTTATTCAGAGTGGTATGATATGGTGTTCTCCGATATATCAAGTTACAGTTTTAAACTAATAACAGTGTTCTCCTCATCAATTTCATACAGACTTCTGGTATACAGGGAATTGAAATACCTTCTTGTTTCTAGAAATTATAGCATCAGATCCATAACACAGTATGTTGGAAAATCATTTCAGAAAGCTCACATTCGAGCAATATAGCAGCACATGACCACGATGTTAAAAGGTCCCAGGGAGAACACTTAAATAATGGTATTGGTGCTGTATTTTTTTTGAGAGCTGTATTATAGATTGATTCACCAATATATCATTTCAGAGTCGTACAATAATGGTGTTTCACCTAAGAAAAGACTTGATGATGTGATGCATTTGGCAGAGTTGTGTATTGAAGTATTACAACAGAATGAGGAACATCATGCCGAGGTAAGGAGCAAACTTGGTACACATCAGAATTCCGTTATACCAAAATTGCATGGTGTTGTTAATCAGCTTAAAAGTACTAGAAACTAACGCTTGCAAACTAAGGCTATCACTGAGTAGTACAATACAACTGGAGAAAAGCTAAAACTTAACATGTGCATTGACAAATAACTAAACAGATATATTAACAGCTGGAGGCTAGCTCAAACTTAACATGCATACTTTCAAATCGATTTTGGACTTGCTCAAACCCAACATACCACAGTAAATATTGTCAGCTTGAAACTTATAGATATACTAATAGCTGGAGGCTAGCTCAAATGTAAAAGGTATGCTGTCAAAATGAAACAGCTTATGATTAAAATTAAACAGCTATATTGACAACACAAGATTAAACTAAATTGGTATGCTGACACCTAGAATCTGTATCATTCATTAGTTACATCTACTTAACCGGATCTTAAATCTGTAAATAAACAATACATCATAAAAATGGTGAATAGTGAATAGTTTGAATTGTATTGGACCTTGTTAAAAATTAGCAATAAACTCCAAATTAGATTTTGATGCTTTTTTGTTGTGTAAAATGTAGTTTTCATTCCAGTTGTTGTGATTGTTTGCTTTATTTTAAAATTGAATACATTTAATGAAAACTGTATACTTATGTATTTGAAGAAAATTGGTAAAAAACGTGTTTTTTCATTTTCAGTATTGGAATTTTACAAATGATAAAATGTATGAAATTGAAAGTCTAGCAAAGTGCACAAATTAAATCTAAGAAGTCATCTGTTTATGCACAAACTATTTTATTTTTAACCAATTTCTTGCAATAGATCAATTTTAGATTGTATTTATCAAGAGTTATTTACATAACTGTAAGGTAATGAAATCACTATTTTAAGTATGGCTATCATTCTGATAAACTATGATTACTGTAGTCTGGTATAAAGTTGATTTTTACATTGTTGATAAAAAGGAGATCAGTCTGGTGTAAGTTTGATTTTTACATTGTTGATAAAAAGGAGATCAGTCTGGTATAAGTTGGATTTTTACATTGTTGATAAAAAGGAGATCAGTCTGGTATAAGTTGGATTTTTACATTGTTGATAAAAAGGAGATCAGTCTGAAACTGAATAAAAACACACTTTTCAAATGGTCACATTTTGGCTTAGATACAGTTTAAATTTTTATGTCAAAATTATTTTGGATAATAAATCTCAAACAGATATCCTTACAGATAAGACAGACATTTATTTTGTGATTTATTGTTCACTTGAAAGGCAAGAGTTTTCGGTGAAGAAGAAAAAATGCAGATAATATAAAAATAGCTGACAGTACCATACAAGTAGGATTCTACTGCTTTGCAAATGTCTGAAATCCAAAATGACAAAAGGGAAAAGGACATGAGGCAATAATTTCTTTTTCAGGACAAGAATGGAATATTTTTATTTTCTATAATGTCACAATAACTTATAATTATTCCAACAATACTTTTCAAAAATAGCTCTTGATAAAATTGTAATAAAATTGACAGCTTGCAAAGAAAGATGGAAAGGTTTATGTTGAAATAACTAGTTATAATAAGATAATATAATCATTGATAATTTGATTTGAGGTATCATTTATAGAAAAAATCTGAAACTTACATTTTGATTCCAATATTCAAGCCAAACTCGATATATGTGGTAAATATAGAAGCTGATTTTGCTAACATGGGTTGGAGAATATTAAAGTTTTGCCACATTTAACAAATCAATTGTATTATTTTAAAATATTTTTTATATGTTGTATATAAGGGTTATTTAATATTGCTGTGTTGTGCATGACAAATTTGAGTTAATTCCCAGTAAAGCATGCATTACTAACCCATGGCTATTGTTTTTTTGATTAGTCATTTACATCGGTGAGTCTGTGTGTTTTTTTAAAGCTTCAATACAGTTTGCACTCTTGCTGTGGTGTGAATTTCTGTTTATTTCTCTGAAATTTTAAGTTATGAAATTAGGTTAACAATTTTCTCCATTTAGCCAAGTTTCAATGCACTATTATGATTTATTTTTAATGATTCACTGCCTTCAGCAGGTTTGATAGCCAAATTGACTGTTGGCTGCTAGGTTTTAAAATAATTAGTCTTTATTGCAACTAATATGCATGAAAACAAGGCCTAGGTTTTACTGCAGTGGCAGATGTTTAAAAGTAATCTTTTAATAGAAAAATCATTGACAGTCCAAATTTTTACTTAGATGACCTTAACTATGAAGTTTTATTTTGGTTCTTTGAATTGTTAAATTATTCTAATTAGAGTATTTTCTAAGAAAGTTGAAAACCTTTGGAATGATTAAACTATGGTTGTAGATGCCACTGTTATATTAGACCATATCAATATGACAAGTTACTTTTTGAAAAAGACCATGTCTTTTAAAAATTCACATATTTTTGCAAAAAAAAAGACAATTTCTTCAGTGGAAGGTCACAAGAAGTTGTAATGGAATTTTATTAAGATGTTTTTTTGCTAAGTCTCCTTGTTATTCAACCTTGACCTATTTTTCATTGTTTAATTTTATAGTTCAATCAGGCAATACACTAATTTCATTAGGGTTCACTTTGTACTGATGGTCCTTAGTTTACATGTAGTTACTTGATGTCGTTCTTTATCATTGGTCCTTTTTATTTTGGTGCACCTGAGCTTTCTCCCTGAGTTTCATTTGAGTCCACATTATTCTGAAGCCCAATAAGCCATTCTCAGAGTTTCAGTTGGGTCCATTGGTTCTGAAAACATTCAGTCATACTTGAGTTTCTTTTATACCCAAATTGTTCTGAAAAACCTTAAGCCATACCCAGGGTTTCATTTGGGCCCAGGTTGTCTAAAGAAACTTGAGCCACAACCAGGGTTTCATTTGGGCCCAAGTTGTCTGAAGAACCATGAGCCATTCCCAGGGTTTCATTTGGGCCTAAGTTGTCTGAAGAACCTTAAGGCATTCCGATGGTTTCATTTGTGCCAAGGTTGTCTGAAAAACTCGAGCCATTCCCAGGGTTTTATTTGCACCCAGGTTGTTTGAAGAACCGTAAGCCATTCCCAGGGCTTCATTTGGGCCCATGTTGTCTGAAGAATCTTGAGCCATTCCCAGGGTTTCATTTGGGCCCAGATTATCTGAAGAATCGTAAGCAATTCCCAGGGTTTCATTTAGGCCCAGGTTGTCTGAAGAGCCTTAAGCCAATCACAGGGTTTCATATGGGCCCAAGTTGTCTGAAGAACCATAAGCCAATCCCAGGGTTTCATTTGAGCCCATATTGTTCTAAAGAACCATAAGCCAGTCCCAGTGTTTCATTTGGGCTCACATTGTTCTTAAGAACCTTAAGCCGTTCCCAGGGTTTCATATAGGCCCACATTGTTCTGAAGAACCTTAAGACATTCACAGAAATTTATATGGGTCCATATTGTTCCGAAGAACCTTAAGCCATTCACAGGGTTTTTTATGGGCCCTAATTATTCTGAAAAACCTTACGCCATTCACAGGGTTTTATATGGGCTCACATTGTTCTGATGAACCTTAAGCCGTTCACAGTGTTTCATTTGAGCCCTAATTGTTCTGAAGAGCCTTATGCCATTAACAGTGTTTTCATTTGTGTAAACATTGTCCTGACATTTGGGGATACTTTATGCTGGTGCACCCGAGCTCATTCCCTGAGTATTATTGCAGTCGACATTGTTTTGAAGAACCTCAAGTCATTGCCAAAGGACTTATTTGGGTCCATATTGTTTTGAAGAACCATAAGTTATTCCCTGGGTTTCATTTTGGTTCATTTTGTACTTGAGCACCTATTATTATTCACTGAGTTTCTTTGGGGATTACAAGTACTCTTTTTGTGTATCTGAAATCAAGTTTCAAGGGGCTACTGATACTGCATTGAACTACCTCCCTAAAGTTGTATTTAGGTTACACATTGCACTTGAGCACACAATGTTATTTAGTTTCTTGGGGTTCACATTAGTCTGAAGAATATGAAGTTATATTCTAAATCTTATTCCTATTTACACTGTTCCGGAGCACCTAATGTCAACCCCTGAGTTTCATTGTATTTGAGTACTTGAGGCCATTCCGTGAGTGTTATTTGAGCTTACTCTGTTCTTGAACACTTTTCTTTTAAGTGTTCTTAAATGTCAGTTTCTAACCTGTTACATTATTTGTATCTTCAAACTGGACCGTTATATGGATAAGACATTTCTGTGTGTCTACTATGATATAAAGAGAATTATCATCACAATTTCGTTCTATTTTATCACAATAAAACCTGGAAATTGATGAGTTTAACTTGAAGATAGCTCAGATATTGATATTTAGATGATAAAGTAGCTGTCACAATTTACACTGAATTTGCTATGATTGTCTGGAAATACTAAGCATTGTAAATCACTTTATAATAAAGCACATTATTCTCACTCTTACACTTATATTTATGACATACTTTGTCTGCAAATCTTATACTATATTATATCATATCTTTCAATGTTATAACTTCAGTCTGGTTATAGTGCCAACATCAAGGATATAGAGACTCTAATAAAACTGTCCATTTTCACTTTTATTCACTTGATATTGAAATATGCAATTTCTTAACATATATTGACATTGTTAGTTTTAGTACAACATAGAACATAGATATTGTCCTTATATGATTATGCTGATTTTGAGATCTTCATTTGCCTGTGTCCTTCACTGGACATTAGAGAATATGAAGTGACTCATTTGATATTGGACTAACAAGATTATTAGTTACACTGTGTACTAATGACCTAATACGATATATTCGCTTCGCTCTCACCTCATATATGAAATTTACTGACACTGTATATATCGTATTAGGTCACTAGCCTAGTCACTGTGTACAAATTTATCTTACCGACATGCAGAATTCAGATTAGTGGCCTATTAAAGTGATCAAGTCTTTAATTTCATTGATCTATACAAAAACAAATACCAATTATAACAATTTGTTAGCCTTTAATGTGTTTTCTGCATTTATTTTCAATCGATTAACATCAATTTCTTCATCTGTTGTCTGGGCGAAACATTTCAGATTTTTCTTCAATGTCATGTTATATTATAAAGGGACATAACACTGCTACTAACCGTGTATTAAAATAAAACACGCCCACTAACCCAATATTAAATATACAGGGTCTCCACATGTTTGCTTTTAACCAATGATATTCCTAGAAATGTATAGTAGGTAGGATAATATTATATACAGCTCAAAATAATTTAACAACAGTGTTTAAGGATCACTTCTATATTAATTCCAATCATGTTATATCTTGTCTAAATAGGAATTTTGAACTTACTTGCTGAACACTGGTAGGAAAACCAGTAATTTTGCAGCACAGTGCTAAAGCCAAAATTTTTTTACAGTACTGTATTTTTTCTGCTAAAGGGGCCTTTTAATTGATTTATGTTGAGCTTGCAACATTTATGTCGCGAAAGCGAGACATAGCGATCCTATATTCTGTCGGCGGCGTCAACATTTAGATTTAGTCTATGGTTTAATTTTTTTAGACATCAATAACTTTGTCAAACCTTCATGGAATTTTAGGAAATTAGGACAGTAGCTTGTTTATGACCAAAAGACAATATCCAGGGCAAAATTTTGAAAATATTTATTTTCATTTTTCTGTATTTTATTGATAAATGGACTTTGTTTTTGTACAGTTAACAAGTAGATACAGTCTGGAGTTTAAGTTTTTCAGTCATCAATAACTGTGGAATTTTAGGAAATTTGGACAGAAGCTTAGTTATGACCAAAATACAGTGTTCAGAGGAAAATTTTAAAAATATTTATTTTCATTTTTCCGTATTTAACTGATAAATGGACTTTATTTTTAACATTTAACAAAAAATTACAAGTCTGGAAGAAAAAATTTAACAAAAAAATACAAGTCTGGGGTTAAAGTTTGTTACATATTAATTGCTTTATCATACCTTCATAGAATTTTATGAAACTTTGGGAAAAGCTTTTTTTATGATTTAGAGATAATGTCTGGGCAAACTTTTGAAAATGTATTTTTTTTTCATTTTCAGTATTTTTCTGATAGATGGACATAGTTTTTGACAGTAAACATTTCCAGACAGTCTTGGATTACACTTTTTTGACATGATAAATTTGTAAACCTTCATGGATTGTTATGAAACTTGGACTGAAGGTAATCTTCAAGACCATAAAATAGCATCTAAAGAAAAAGTTTTAATTTCTTTTTAAATTCTGTATTTTACTGATAAATGGACTCACTTTTTAAGTCAACATTACACTTTTACACTGACAGCAGCAATCGCAGGTGAGACACAGGGTTCCATGGAACCCCTTAGGAATTTTCTAAATCAGCAAGAATACATGCAAACCACACATTAGGTGAAAGAGTGGTCTAAGTAGTTCTTCTACAGTAATCACTAGCCTATAAACGCTGAGGTTATGAGTTCGAAGCCATCTTGCGGCAGGTGCTTTTGAACTGCCAGATTTCCATCCAAGATTTTATTTCTCTCTGGCTCCCTCCCAAAAAAAACCTCAAAAAAATGGCCAAAATGAGCAAGCCAAGAGTTCTGAAATTGGCACTAAACACCAACAATCAATATATCAATTAAACAAACCACACATAGTTGTAACATTTAGGGGGGAAGGGGGGATTAAATCTAGTTCAGAACAACAAAAAGGTTTGTAAAAACAGAAGTCTTTTTAAATTTTTATAGTATTGTTAGGTTGCTGTTCCCTTGATGTTTACCTTTCATAGATCTACTCTTTGATAAGATGCATTGTTTCATAATATTTTTTGAAACAATTTGTCAGTGTGGAAATATCAATGTATTTACAACTTGTCTCTTTATTGATGTAAAGGAATGATTCTTTAACTGGATTTCTTTTTGTCTTATCAATGATTTTTTAGTTTTTATTATCTTTTTGTTTTCTTACAACATAGACAGAGCAATCCAACATACTTCATTGTTTTTTTTGTTTTGCTGTCATATTGTTTTGTGTGTAATTAATTATAACTTAAGTTCATATATATTATTTTTTATTTTTGAATTGATTTTTGTTGGATTGCATTCATTTAAAAGATATGTGAAACTAAGGAGCCTTCTAAGAAGAATGCAAAGGAAATTCAACCAATCTTGCCATGTGACAAGTATATAGTACATTTAAGCCAATCAGAGTTGATTTTAGAAGCGACCAAGGTATCAGTGTCTTGCACCAGAGCAGATATACACCAGGCACTTTGATTGGATGTATTTGTATAATCTCTCACATCTATTATGCATGTTTCAAGTTAATAAAGTGTTCTATTTCAGCTAAGCTTTTTACTGTTTGAAATATATATATTTTAATAATGAATGGCTTGATATTTTCCTGAATGAAAACTTATTTATAATTACATTTTAAGAATCTGTTTGGATCAATTTTCTGATGATGGCTTTAAAATTATCACTGCCTCAATAATTTCTTTATATCTTTAATTTAGAATGGGGATTGTCTGGCTTTAAATTCTTCTTCATGATATTTATTCTAACTGGTATTTGGAAACTGCTTTAGAGCATGTTATAAATAATGAATGCCTTTACAATTTATAACTCTGAGTTGTCCAATATTCAGTATTCTGTATAAGACAACAATCTACAGAGATTTATAATAATTGATAATTGTCAGATGTTACAAGGAACAAAAAGTATAAGACTGCCTGAACTCCATTTATTGAGTTCATTATATATTGTTATCAATTATACATTAACGGTACATATTTTGTATGAGACCTTTTTGGGTTATAAAATAAACAGCAGGGGCGGATCCAGGATTTTAGGTTGAGGAGGGTGGAAACGTAAATTTTTTTGATGTAAAATTATCAAAATATTCTTTATAAATCTGAGGACAACTCATGCTGTGCAAATTTTAGGGGGGCTCACACCCGCCATGTCCCCGCCTGAATCTGCCCCTGAACAGTACAGTTAATCACTTGGATAATTTTTTGGTTCAAGAAATCTGAAGCAATTATTTACAATTTCTAGTATTTTCATTTTATTACCAACAGTCCAAATTGATTTCACCCTATTTTTTAGTATTGAATCTTTAGGGGTTATTACATCTTCATTTGAAAACTGTTTTTCAACAGTAGTCTTTTGACACAGTGTGGACATGATCATCCTTATTCACCGGGTTTTGTTTTTGTTACTTAGGCCATTTGATAAAAATTACCATGGTCATGTACTTGTCCAAAGTCAGTGGTTGCCTTCAACTATATCTTAATGTTTTGGCAAATTAACTTTTTTATACACACTGTTAAATTTTATTCACAACTCTTCTAGATTGGCCGATTAAGAACATTAAAATATTGTAAACACTCCTTTTGATGACAATATTGTGACCCTTTGATATTTTTTGATTTTTTTTCCCCATTGGGTTGCTGTTTTTATTTTATTTAAGATCCACAACACATCACAATCACAAACCTTTTTTCCAATCATTTTTTCATTTTTTGCTGGATATAATTTTTTTTTAACACAAAATGCTGTAGATTACACGAAATACCTGAATTTTTTTTATTGTCAAAATAATTGATGAATTTGCTTAAATTTATTTTCTCTGCTTGATTATGTCTTTATTGGTATATGGCAATTTCAGATTCCATTTTAAAATTGATTAAATGAATAAACACATGTTTAAAGTATAAATACTGGCCAAACAACTAGTAGCTTCTTTTTCCAAATGCTTCTTTCATCTACATTAATCACACATGTGTGACTGTATGTTTTTATGTATTATGTTGAATATATGTTTAACTTGTGAGATGTGAAATTCAAGTACCCATATATGTGACAAAATAGTTGACACATTTTCTGTTCAAACAATGAAAGATGTTATTGTGTTTTTGTAATGTTGTGTATTTAATTGTTTTTCCAACAGTACTTATATTTGATATTTATCAATAGAAGTTGATATTATATTACACATGTTTTTCTATAGGCTTTTGCTTGGTTCAGTGATTTACTGGTAGAACATGCAGAGATATTTTGGTCCCTGTTTGCTGTAGATATGGATTCTGCATTAGAAATGCAGCCATCAGACACATGGGATAGCTTTCCTTTATTCCAGGCACTTAATGACTATCTTAGGAATGATGGTAAAAACATTTCCATCATTTTTTCACTTTTAAGATCACTTTACAAACAGGACCTGTCTAAAACATGCTCAAATTCTTCTCCACATGGACTAAAGCAATTGTGACAAACCTTAGTAAAATGTTCATATCAATGTTTGTCATCCTAAACATGCATGAAATATTTGGCAATGGACATTAAGCAACCAACAGTCAATCAATCAATATTGATGGTTCTTAAAAATGATACTAACATTGGTAGTGCTTGGCTAGAAGCACCTGCATACAAATTTAGATCAATTTATGTTTGAGAACTGCATTAAGTGCACCCGAATATTATCACTAATTTTGTTGATGTTAATCAAAAATGCTGTTTAATGAAATTATTGTCTTTGTTTTTTTGTGTCATTGACATATTTTTTAGATTTCAATACATAATTTGGTAGATGATTAAAACTATGGTAGTAATTATTTCTTAAAGATCATTTAGTTCATGTTAATACCTAATGTTTCTTATGAAAAAAAGAGAAGAATTTGAAGATGGGAATTTTTTTATATTTAATTTTTCTATGAAACTTAGTTCAAACAACGTGTACCAGTTTCTTTAATTTCATAAATTCTTAGTTCCCAGGTCATCTTGTGAAACAGCTATATGAGCTATGACAATCAATTGTCATCCCATTTGCATTTTCCTTCTTCAATAAATTACCGAACAAATTTCAACAAACAAGACATGAATGATCCATAGTGTGTTTTGATTTTAGGTCCATTTGATTTTGTCTCAGAATATTTTGTGAATATCTTTTTTTGTCTTGATTTTAACATAAACATCAGTATGGCATATTTTCACCAGATGAGCAATTGGGGTTCGTTTGAACCTCTTATTAGGAAGTTGCAATATGACAATAAATTTACTTCATATATCAGACACATTGATGGCTCTGATGAGTAATCATTTTCAAAACTGCTCCTCAATTTAAAATTTATTGAACAGCTATATTCCTAATGTTGTTTCATGAATGAATTTGTACTATTTCCATTTTTGTTATTTCAGAGAATTTATGTGGAGGAAAGTTTCATTTACACCTAAGGAATGTATTTGCTCCCCAAGTTGTAAGATATGTAGACCTGATGGAGTCATCAATAGCTCAGTCTATACATAAAGGATTTGAGAAGGAGAAATGGGAGCCTCAGGGGTAGGTATCAATAATAAGTTCTTTTTAATAAGGATTTGAAAAGGAGAAGTAGAAACCTCGGGAAACGTATCAATAATAGCTCCTACATAAAAGGGGGTTGAACAGGAGAAATGGAAACTACAGTGGAACATATCAATTTTAGCTCCTTTATATAAAGGATTTGTGAAAGGAGAGGCAGAAACTATTCATAAGAAACATTAGTCCACATTTCATGTATTATATGGTTATGTTATTTGTTTTTCAGAAATGGATGTGCAACCTCAGAAGATATGCTGTGGAAACTTGATGCTCTACAATCATTCATACGTGATCTACACTGGCCAGAAGAAGTGTTTGCTGAACATTTAGATCATAGGTTAAAATTAATGGCAGCTGATATGATAGAAGCTGCAGCCAAAAGGTATGTTTATAATCATGAATAAAATCAGATGTGGGGTCATAGTAAATACACAGCAACATATCAACACAAGTTTCGAGAAAAAAATAGACATCTGGTAGTCACTATAACATTAAAAGTGTTTTGAGGAGAGTTTATATAATATTCTAATTTTATTTCAGAACATTGAAGGCATTTGAGCAGTGGCTAAGAAAAGGTGGCAAAGGCACAGATTATATAATATACTCAGAAATTTGTGTGATGATGAATGTTATCATTGACTGTAAAAGTAGGGTAGGTACTCTTATGAAATAAAAATGTATGGTAGCAGGCTCGTCTCCAGCATGGGTTTAAACCTTAGCCAAGTTTAAATATAAGGCATAATTTGTATTGATATTGTTTTTACACTGCCTAAGATAGTAGGGTCCATTCTGGTTTTCTGGTCTTTACATCCAACCTTTTTTTTACATCCCATATCTGATTCAAGTTTTTAGTTAGAATAGCTTACCATGAAGTTGTGGTCACATCAACTTTTAACTTTATACTTGTGTTTATTTTGATGTGAAAATTTTGACCATGATTTCACAGTTCTCTTAGCATGGAAATGTGATAGTGCCAGTGAGGCATGATTTCCTGTGATGAAATAGTCTTGTTTTAACTTCTAATCTCAAAGCATAAAGGAGCAATGACTGGTCACATTGGATTAGTCACATAAAGATGAATTTGGGTGAGGTTGGTATTTCCTGCTGTCTTTTACCTTATTTTCTAGCACATTATTGATGAAAAAATAGTGCTACTTGGTTTTTGAGGACTCCTGATAATAAATTGGTCTAAATAGAATATGGAAAGGTTGCTGTTTGACCTTTTAAGATAACCAGACCTGTGTCTCATGAAGGAATCATAAAATGAAACTGATTTTGATGGATGGTTTTTATATGACTGCATAATTTTTGCAGCCGTATGATGGTATGACGTGGTCGTATTCATCGTCACCATTGTCGTTGTCAGAAGACATTTGGTTTCCAGACAATAACTTGAGTATAAGTGTATGGATCTTTATGAAATTGTACCACCAGGTTCCATACCTAAAAAGGAAAATTTGTATTGATTTTGGGGGTTATGGTCAAAATTGTTTAGAAATTAGAGGCCAAAAAACAAGGATTATCTGGTTTCCTATATGCTGAATCTAACAGTGTATTTAAATTTTAGAATTTGGGTCCTGTTTTCAAATTTGTCCACATTGAGGTCCAAAGGGTAAAAAATTAAAGTTTGTTTGATTTCATCAAAAATTGAATTCTTTGGGTTCTTTGATTTGCTGAATCTAACCATGTACTTAGGTGTTTTGATTTTGGTCCCGGTTTTCAAATTGCTCCACATTAAGGTCCAAAGGGTGCAATATTAAACTTAGTTTGATTTTAACAAAAATTGAATTCTTGGGGTTCTTTGATATGCTGAATCCAACCATGTGGTCCGAGTACACAGTTATTTCGTAGTGCATTTCTTTTAGACAATAAATGAAAATTAAAAAAATCCCACCTGCGCTTTCTCAATAATATTTTTACAGTGTGTTGTACTACTTTTGGGACAAATTATATCAAAATTATAGAAAACTTCATCGGCTCTAACTCAAAATATGGACAATTTCATGTTAAGGGGGTCTTCAAATCTTTTGACAGCTTCTGAAGTTCCAATTTTTAACATTTTTCAGCTGGACCAAATCACTACTTTACTTTAAAATTCATGACCCAAATTTTTTTACAGTGTCATTTCACCCCCCTACTTACTATTTGAGTCATAAAACATGGAGAAATAAATTTGGAAGGGGTATAAAAAAAATCGACAAGTAACACACTGTCCACACTAGGGACTATATTCGTGGACAACGAAAATCAAAGGACGATAACTGTGTACCCGGACCATGTATTTAGATTTTGGATATTGGACCATAATAGCTAAATGTCAAATTTCAAATTTTTAAGTTCTTAGACCACATTCATTCTGTGACAGAAACCTATCCTGTGTCAATATTTAATCAAAATCCAAATTCAGAACTGTATCAAGCTTGAATGTTGTGTCCATACTTGCCCCAACTGGTCAGAGTTTGACCTCTGCAGTCGTCGGGGCTCACACTACTTAAGAATCATAGGGAGAAGTGACTTCTCTTTTTGAAACTGATAGGGAGAAGTGGTGAGATTTGAAAGAGTAGTGCTCAATCGCTCACGGCGCTACATTGTTTGGTTTTTACTATAATAAATAGGGCCATATATATCTTTTTGTTTATATTGTTCAATTCATACCTGGGTATACAATTAAAGTATTAGTAACAGTTCAAATTCAAAGTTGTTTAAGTTTATCATATCTAGTTGCACAATTATGTAAGTCCTCTTGTCAGAAACTACCAACTAAATATCTAGCACTAATAAAAAAGAACTTTTTTTATATCAAAAAGGAAAAGAAAGTATAATATATCAATTAAAATTAAATTAAAAAAAACTACTCTGTTTATCATTTTTATGAAATTCAGTTTTTCTCATTAAAAAGATATATAAATTTGACAAAGTTAAGCTGGGACATAATATAATGATATTAGTATAATAGTCCCAGAGTTGAGCAACTTAAATTAATAAATTGAAACAATGCATATACATGGAAATATATACATTAATCAAGTAGATCTAACCAAAAGTCTATCAATGTGTGTGAAATGTGTAATTTTTATACGACCGCAAAAAAATTTTGCAGTCGTATATTGGTATGACGTTGGCATCGTCGTTGTCGTTGTCCGTAGACACATTTGTTTTCGCACTCTAACTTTAGTTTAAGTGAATGGATCTCTATGAAATTTTACCATAAGGTTCAATACCACAAAAGGAAGGTTGGGATTGATTTTGGGGGTTATGGTACCAACAGTTAAGGAAAAAGGGGCCAAAAATAAGCATTTTTGTAACTTCCAGACATAACTTGTGTGTTAGTGTATGGATCTCTCTGACATTGTACCACAAGGTTCCATATCACAAAGGGAATGCTGGGATTGATATGGGGGGTAATTGCCTCAAAATTTTAGGAATTAAGGGCAAAAAAAGGGGCAAAAACAAGCATTTTTCTAGTTTCATGATAATAACTTGTGTGTAAGCGTATGGATCTTTCTGAAATTGTACTACAAGGTTCCATTTCACAAAGGGAAAGCTGGAATTCGGTTTTGGGGTAATTGCCCAAAACGTTTAGGAATAAGGGGCAAAAAGGGGCCAAAAATAAGCATTTTTCTAGTTTCCAGACAATTACTTGTGTTCAAGTGTATGGATCTCTCTGAAATTGTACCGCAAGGTACAATACCACTAAGGGAAGGCTGGGATTGAGTTTGGGGGTAATTGCCTCAAAATTTTAGGAATTAGGGGCCAAAAAGGGGCAAAAAACAAGCATTTTTCTAGTTTCAGGACAATAAATTGTGTGTAAGTGTATGGATCTTTATGAAATTGTACTACAAGGTTCCATATCACAAAGGGAAAGCTGGGTTTGCGTTTGGGGGTAATTGCCCTAAACATTTAGGAATTTGGGGCCAAAAAAGGGCCTAAAACAAACATTTTTCTAGTTTCCAGACAATTACTTTTGTTCAAGTGTATGGATCTCTCTGAAATTGTACTGCAAGGAACCATACCACAAAAGGATGGCTGGGATTGAGTTTGGGGGTGATGAATCATAAGGGGGTTCAAAAAATTTGGGGGAGGGATTTTTTTTTTCTTTAAAATTTTCCATTTTGAACATTGGTTATTTCTGATTTATATATAAAAGCAAATAATAATGATATGGTTTGAATAGGTAAATTAAAAAATTTTAAGTTCTTAGACCACATTCGTTCTGTGTCAGAAACCTATGCTGTGTCAAATATTTAATCACAATCCAAATTCAGTGCTGTATCAAGCTTGAATGTTGTGTCCATACTTGCCCCAACTTTTCAGGGTTCGACCTCTGTGGTCGTATCAAGCTGCGCCCAGCGGAGTGTTTTATTCATATAAGGTTTATGAAGACAATTTGGGGACAAGATTAACTTTGCAATCATAGATGACCAAATGTTGAGCATTTTATTCCTTTTGGGATCAATATTCTTCTGTCAGCTGTGCCATTCATGCATCCGTAGTTGTTATCATAAGAATCTGGATTTCGCTCATAGCTGGTCCGTTTCCCAAAAATCCCGACTCCGATCAGTAATTTGTACAAATATTTCAATGGCAGAGAAAGAAAATTTTCAAATATAAACAAGTAACAAGTACCGGAAGTGATAAAAAATTCTCTTAATGAAATAACATACAAACAACTTTAAAGTCGATGCATTAACCTTTTTTCTAAAGAAAATAAATTGTTTATGTCTTTGAATTTTTTCACTTTTAAATGAAAGATTGGTGTTTCATCAACATGGTAAAAATTGAAAATTGCCGATGATGAAAGCGACTGAAAAAGAGTATTGTGAACAACAGGGCGACTAGATATTGCTTTTGACGGTTGGGCAAAGCAAAGTGACGGACGGAAAAGCGACTTTATCGCCCCAGTCACCTACTAGCGTGAGCCCTTAGTCGTACCAAGCTGCATCCTGCGGAGCATTTTATTTATTTTGATTTTATTTTGGATGGGTTTTTTTGTGAAAACCAGGTTTTGTTTTCAAATTATTATGAACTGAAACATATGCAACAAAAACCCTTAGGTCTGATAACCAGAAAACCAGACAAATGGATTATACAGACAGCATGTATAACTTGAAAGTTGATCACTTGAAAAATGAGGCAATTATAAAAAAAGAGGAATGTTTAGTGTGCTGGAAAAATGAAATGATAGCAAATAGATTAAGATTATACAAACCAAGTCTTAACAAAATTCTATCACTAAACTAATTATGTTTGTTTATATTATAGGCATTACATTTATGTGCTCTTGACAGTGGAGAAAACATGGTAAGTTTGATTTACGAAAAGGATTTGGTGTTGTCAGGGTTTTACTATTTACTCATTTAAATTGTTTACTGCTTTACAAAATCTGTGTTACATTAGTTGCAATAAAATGTAATCCCAGCCAAATAGAAACATACTTTACATATAAAATAAATTTGTATGCAACACAACTCTGACATACAACTATAAGTCTTGTCAATAATCAGAATCAGAATTGCATCAAAACAAAATGAGAACTCACAGAAATAAGATAGACCTTCTTGCAATTTCTACTTAATTTACATTTAAAGTCAATGCAGTAAAAGGAATAACAAATCTGGCCATTCAAATATCAAAATAATGAACTTGTGACTATATAACACTGATAAGTCACTCATATGCTACATTCATTTGTTGAATATTTGTCCAAATTTGAATTCTTAGATTAGTTATTTTATAAGTATTTTAGAATTACAAGGTGTAATCATTTTTTATAGCTTTCTTCCAACTGTTTGCTCTTCTCTGCTTATTATTTCAACTTAAATTTTTTTATTACTCAACAAGAAAACAGTACATTAAGCTGCATTTTCATATCTTTCACTCACAGCCAAAATCTACTTATATTTGAGTTCACTTCATCAAAGGGTAGGGATGTGTATAAGATCACTGACTAAGAAGAACTCACAAATCTGTCATATATTACATCCAGTCATAAAACTTTTGTACACCTATTCTTGTTTCTGTTTGCAGCATCAATACCACACCAAAATAGAGGAATTCCTGGAAAGAGTTCAAGCTCAGATGGTTAAATGTTTGATTGAAAAGGTAAAACCAAGCTTATGGTAACAGTTGCATTATAAATCTTTTCTGTAGAGAATGTAGTGTGATTGATATCACTCATTAGGGTGTATCAAAATTACAATTGTATGCACATAATGAATTCATGGAATAGCTTCCATGAAACACCATTATTTTATATTTTTTGGACATAGATAATGAGAAAATTTGTACTTCTTTGAACATTTTAATTGATGATTCACCTTTACACAGGAAATCCACAGAAATTGGTACCCCACAAATAATAAGGAATCCACAGTAGATAAAATTGATCCATAGAAGACTGTTATTATCTAGATTTATCCTGTTTATCTGTGTGTCAATGCTTTTAGAATATTGGGTCATGATAGACAGGGTTGTTTGTTTAATTCAGTTTATTAGAATAATACATATATAACTTTGAAAATTTATATATTTTTATGAATTTCAGTTATTATCAGTGATGGAGTCAGTCTTAAGTAAACTTGCACGGTATGATGAGGGAACCTTCTTTTCTTCAATTCTATCTTTAACAGTGAGTTCTTACTTACAAATAGATTAAATTTAGTAAAGATTTAGGTAGATTCTATCATTAACAGTGAGATTTTCTTACAAATAGATTAAATTTAGTGAAGATTTAGCTTACATACATATAGATTGAATTTAGTAAAGATTTAGGTAGATTCCGCTCTTATTTTCTGTTTTATTGTTGGTGTTGGAATGTGCAAACCATTTGCCTTAGCACAATGAACTTATATTTATTTATAAAAACTACAATACTTTTAGCAAATAAAGAACATGTATCATGTAGGGTTATTGAAGATTATGATATGCCCTTGAATTTTAAAACTTCATTGTGTTAGTAATTCAAATAGTTTATACCTTGCAGCAGGAATAAAAAACAAAATGGAGTAACCTTTGAAATATGTTGTTGATTCAAGGCTTACAAAACAGTCATATATGCCGGACATTTGTATAATGTCCGGTAAAAGTCCGGCTGGGCAAAGCATGAAACGGTCATCTCCTTTTTAGTTTTCAAGGCTTTAAGAGACGGTCATTTTAACATAATTCGCGATCTTTTTGACCGAACGTTTTGCCTTTAACAGCCACACGTTTCCAGTCATAAAAGTGACATGATCATTAAGTACTATCAAAACAACCCCTACTTTAATACCTTCTCATTTTAATCAAGGCTAATTAGTTGTCGAACAGCTGAAATTTAACTGTTCAGGTGACAGGTAAACTATTTTGAACCGGACATTGATCGGTCTATTCAAAGTTATTTTCTTACCTTTCAGCGGTTTGCATCTAATTAATTTAGTCAAAAAGATTTAAAGTATCAGAAATACGTTTACAAATATGATTTGATGAAAAAATTAAAAAGGTGAAAATGAAACATCGTCATAAACACGTTGTTTGTACTAGAGACATGTCTCTGTTTGAACTAGTACACTTGTGCGCATGTGTGAAATTTAATTATGCATCCTAATTGTTAAAAAAATGCTTAAATTGTCATTGATACCTTTATCTCACGTGTATTTCGATTGTTTTCTTGAAGAAATAACGTAGAAGGAGCTAATTCCACTCATTCATGCTTTGCAAACGTACACGGAATTTACGTATCCGTCTCTGGTCCATGTTTTACCATTGTCAAGATAACATCCGGTTAAGATTTAAAAACGAAAGTAAAGTTTTTGACAACGTTATTTTGCACAAATAAAGAGTCTAAGGCAAATATAAGTACGCTGATGTAATTTATTGTTGCACACCTCGAATGATGCACTGCCAATTTAACAGTTTACGTCCGAACTTCGAATTTGAATCAAAGAAAGTTTAATATCGTTTTTTTTTATGCCAATCATTGGGATGGCCAACTCGGCAACTGATTACCATAATTGCCTTTTGTTTATTTAGTCTTAAGGGATTAAAATCGGGATAACATATAAAATGTCCGGCTGGCTAAAAATAATTTTGGAAGCCCTGTGTTGATTATGAACAACAACTAACATTAGCTCATGTTAATTGTAATACATAACAATATGGAGAAGTGGTATGGTTACCAATGAGATAGCTATCCATTGATCAACAAAAAGACTAGGAAGGTTAAGCAAACAAAAATCATTCCAAAAAGACCAGATAAAAAACATTTTCATGTAATTGTACAGCCAACAACAATTACAGCCGACATTGTTAGGATTCATGTAAAGCATAGAAAGTTAAGTTGAGTTAACTATTTTGATCTATTCAACAATTGTGCATAACCACACATTTACAATAATTACATTTTCAGAAACCAGTAAATGAGCTCGGTAAATCCTATGTTGATTTTATGAGATGTAGTCTAGACCAAATAAGACAAAAAATAGCAGATGAATTGTTTACTTTGTCAATATTTGAGGTATGTTTTATATAAATGGTCCAAATTAAGGTATACTTCAAAGTTAGTATGACACTTTGGATGTCTTCTTGTGAAAAACAGTTAATCTTAGAATTCTTATAAGACAATTCCAGCTTTTTTTTATTTTGGATAATTGTTTGCTTTAAATCTCTGATTTTTTAAGCTTTTAATTGAAAACTATTGACAAACATTATGTGGTATCTGTATAGTGTATCTAAATCTATGAATTTCACAGGTTTTGTACATCTTATATATGTCCTAGGAAAAACAATTCAACATTAACTGTCATTAATGTCCTGTTCAGAGTAAGCAGTGGAATGATGTGGTTTAGATCACTACAGAAGAATTCTTTGTTTGGCGCAGTGCACATATATGGTTTGAGACTGCTACTTCTTTTGTTTTTGTTGTGGCCACTGGCCAGTCAAATAAAATATCAAGTAAAGAAATAACATACATCTTCCATTAAGGACTAAGTAATTTATTTTCACAGATGATGATATAAAAAAGGAAAAAGAGTTTTCCAAGCATTACATGCTAATTAGTAAGAGCAAAGTTTAAAGATAGATAAATCAGTTTATTTTTTATTTCAGCAATGGTATACAAGTCAAATGAAGATGACTTATGATTGGTTGTCAGATAGACTAGATCTTTCACTACATCCATACCAGCTAACTTGCATCATGACTATAAATAGAGTGAGTTTATATCTTTATAGTCAATTCAGTTCAATGTCAGATTTACTTCTGTAAGGTGTTGTGATTTGGGATTTTAAGTTAATATTCAAAGACTAATGGCTTCCATTCCTATGATATCACAAGGGTAAGTTTTAAAAGAGAAAAACATCATTTTCATCCTGTACTTTTAATACTTTAAACAAACAGGCTTCCAAGTTTTGTCAGTATAGTTTTGACTGGGCTCTGTTTCACCTGGATAGACTCAGGTGGGGTAAAATTCATGTGACCGCTGATCAGGGTTGAATTACTGAGCATATGCTTTTCACGTTAACAATAGATAAATCAATCAACAGTGGAGAAAAATTGGGCTTCTGTCTTCCATAGAGCCTCTAGAAATAATAAGCTTAGTAGCCAGCTGGCATTTATGGGTAAAATCTTAAATTCTGTTTTAGCTGTAGGCTCATATTTAGATATCTTGGAATAATGTTTGACTTGTTTAAGTATATCACACACCTAAATGAAAAAAACACACTGACTACTTGTATCATACCTGCCAACCCTCCTGTTTTGAGACTCCCTCTCAAATGGCGAAATTCAGGTAATCTCCCGCTTGCCGTTACCCTCCCACGTGGGAGTATAGAATCTCCCACTTTTGGATATTTTAACCTTGAATGACAAGTCAACATTAATTACGTTTATGTCTCAATGATGAGGGTTGTTTTTACCTGTAAATCACAGACCATGTGAAATTAAATGGCTTCACTTGACAGCTTGGGTGTCAAACATAGTACTAATTAACGATCATTAACGACTTTTGCTTCAAGCTTTGTGTTATTAAAAACAAATTTCGGGTTACTTCCCCTGTTTAATCCTCTTTTAAGTTACCCTTCTTAAAATAATGTGAATTAATAAAACAATATAAACTAAATACAAATTAAACAAAGAATCATAAAAGGATGGCAATTAAAAGATTTTGTATGCCTTAAGACAAAAAAAATAATTATATTTTAAAAATCACTTAAAAATTTATACTTCTATTCAATGTTTAGATTGAAATGTATAAGATATGTATTGAACCAAATTTGGTGATATATGTATGTGCACATGCTTAATGCACCATCTATGAGTCATTGACTACACTAATGCTCTCTAATAACAGAGGTATCTGTGGTGAAAAGTTGTCCTGATGGGATTCAATTGTCAAAGATGTTGAAATAGGAAAGAAATAAACAACACACCTTCTGTAGGATATAACCACAAAGTATATCTATTAACTCTTATATGTGTTTCATAGATGATTAAATAAACACTTCATATATTTCACTTGAAAATGTCGTTCACGCAAAATCTCCCCCTCAGCTGTCATAGCTGAGAGGGAGATCTCCCTCTTTGAAGGTTTCAGAGGTTGGCAGGTATGACTTGTATCATTAACTGTGGATTCATAATCATTTATTGGATATCAATTTCCGTGGGTTCAGGGGAACCATGAATTGAAATGTTCAACGACTTTATGAAATTTCATTAGGAATGTATGCAGACTTTGTTAACACCAGGAAATCAAATATCCCCGAAAATGCAAGTTTTTCATAATCTGCAAAAATTGGTTCCCACGAAAATGAATGGTTCTACAGTAAAAGATGTAGGCCTATAATTATAAAATGTGCCTTGGATAGTCATTGATAATAATGTTGTAATCTTATTATATTTTAGAAATGTTATTCAGACTTTGAACTTCAAGGTGTATTAGAGAATATATTAAATGATAAAACCTATCAGAACATTTGCAAAAGACTACAGGTAGGTCATATGTAATTATAAAGATTTATCATACTGTATTTCACATCCACATTAAATATTGAGTCAATATAATATGGTTTTGTCTTATTTCAAGTGTTGGTCAATATTACCTATAGTTTATGCCCGAGTGAAGAAAAATGAGAAGAGACCATAGGTACTGTCACAAATCAAATGTCAAAGAAGAGACAACTTCATAACCAAATTAGAATGATTAAAAGACAAACAGTAGTCAACAAAGCACTGCTAAGAAGACAATCTGTGATAATTCCTAATACTGTAAACCAACTAATCTTCGCGACTTTCGTGAGAAGAAAAATAGCATGAATATAAATCGTCGCAAATTTGTAAAACTTTGATTTTTCCTTATTTAACTACATGAAGTAAATTTGAGAATTGTGAAATTAAATTGCCTTGAAATGGGCTAGAAAGGGCTAATTGTGGAATAAAGTATCTGCGAAAATAAGTTGGTTTACAGTATGTGATCATTTTAAAATGAGGAAAAGAGAACAGGACTATTACAGACAGACTTAATGTTTTCAAAATGTTAAAGTGTTAGGTAAAGTTTTCTTTTGAGTAAAATAAAGTCATTAATCAACTATGCATAGTTTCATGAAAATCCATGAACAGATAAATTAAGTAAGGGCAGAACTATGTCAAATCCTATTCCATGAACTGATTAAATGTTTGTTACACAACTGTAGATAGAAGCTACCCACTGAGTACATACATTGTTGTCATAAGATTGTCCAATTTTATGTAAAAATGAATAATTTGTGTAATTATAGGTAGAAGAAGCTACCCATTCAGTAACACAGTGTGAGAAGAGATCAACAGGGTTTTTGGGAGGAGGTACCAGTAGTAATGTCAGTAATGATAGTGATGACGAATCAGATTAAAACTAGGGACCAGAACAAGCAACTTTTACCTCATGACAAAACTTATTAAACTGGTGACCTGTTGTGCCATGGAATAACCCTTTGGTACAAACTATGGCCTCTCTAAAAATGTTTTTGAGATTTCTTCTTATTGAAAATAGTTATTCTTACAGAAACATGGCTGGCAATATAAATAAGGGAACAACATTGTAGCATACTAGTATTAATATGCTTGTGGACATGTGCCATCTTCGACAGCTAACCAGCAATGAATAATGTTAACTATGAAATGCATTACCTTTATGCTGGAATAAAATATCTTTTAGGGATGTAAAATTATTTAAAAAATCACCTTTTCAAAGCTGAATAGCTGGATCAAAGCATAATAATATAATATTTGAAATTATTAGAAAGTTATGTAATCATTGATATATTAGAATTTACTTTGCTGGGCATAAAAACTTTCACAGCTTTAAATATCTCATATACTTTTGAATATTCAAATTTTTCAATTAGTTTTAAAACACATGGAAAGGGAATATAATGAAAAGCTGTTGCTATTTCTCTGTCATTTTGCATTACTATATGAATTTAGTAGATCTTGGCATTAACTTTCACCAAAAATTGTATTGACAATGTTATATTGTAGTTCAGCTTAGAAATTTATAAGGCCTGCTACACTTTGAAATTTCAGCAGATTCACATATGATATGCATCTGTCTCTTTGTTAATTCATCCATTCATATAAGATAAAATGTTGAATTGACAGATTAATTAAGCTGCTGCTAACTGCCATACTCATTTTATAAAGATATATTATTTTTTTTACTGTGCATAATATCCATTTGACACAGATAATTTTTTTATTTGTTAATTAAGAGGGTAGGAATGGGGTACCGTTATCCCACATGAGGAATGACAGTAAAAAATATTTGTTAAAATAACGTTAATGATAAAGATTTTACTCCATTTGACACTAACAGTGGCTACAAATCAAGATTTGAAAAATGACGATAAAATATTTAAGGCTCATCTGTCACTAATGGTAGCGAAAAACGGACGTTTGACGCTTGACAGTAAAGGGCATTCCTACCCTCATTTAAGGGCATATGTAACATGCACACTTGCTTTATAAAATTGTTTATGGTAATATTAATCTATCGATTATAAATACATATATAGGCTTAAATTATAGACTTGCTATCACCACTGTCAGATCTGATTTTCTAAAAAGTTAAATCCATGTTTTTGTTTTATTTTGAATTATTATTTTGTTAAGTATATTTCCTGATGATGATAAGGAGAGATGTTAATTATTTTGTTTAGAACATACCACAAACAGAACTAGAAGAAAAGAATGATATGAAATTGTTTCACAGCAATGATATTACCACTGTCATGGCATTTTTTACTAGTCATTCCAGAGAGCCTGTAATCCTGTGTTATTGATTCTTATTAAAGCCAACAAATGCTATCTTGTAAAATACATGTAAATATAAAAGTCTTCTTTTCATGAGGTCATTCTTTAGAGCAGAGTGAATGTGGTCAGTTGTAGCATTTTCAAAATCTATCAAACAATTCTGAGGCATGAACTTTGTGTCCATGTTGAAGTCCTCAATGTAACTTTCAAATGGCGACCAGTGATAAAAGGGTAGTTCTTTTGCTTTGGGTTTTGTAATGTGTGTGTGCAGAGATTTTATGTCATGAATTAATATATTATGCCATCTTTTTACTGATAGTAAGGGTAGCATCTGGTAAGGGTCATTTGACAAAAAAATTACAGTACTATTCTACATCTAGCTGTAAAACAAGATTCTTTTTTAGTCAAGTTGTTTCGAAAATCGAATTTGGCTTATCATATATGAATGCCGTCTATTTGTCAGGATGTTAATATGTTGGTTTCCAGGTAAATCTTTTTATTTATAAGCAATATCAAAACTTGGATTGATAATTACCCATTGGGTAAGGAAGAACTCTTTTGATTTTGGGGTCAATAGTTCAAAGATCAAGGTCACAGTACCTATTGATAGACTGAAATTTAGGTAAAATACTGGTTTCCAGATATCATCTTTTGAACCATTTGTCCAAATGTTACCACACTTTACATTCTTTGTCATCAGAACTAAAAAAAAATAAAGCTGACTCAATAAACTGTTTCTTCTACTACAAATCCAGAAAGATCACATCTCAGTTTATTCACCCATGGTGCTTCTGGAATTTTATGAATTATGAAAATAAATTCTAAGCCTTTTGCCTTTCATTGTTTGAATGAATCAGTGGACATTACACGCACTGAATCAGTAATTTCAGGAAAATTATTGAATCTATTCTAAGTGCAAAGAGAAGTGTACTCTCCTTTATTAAAACTATTGGTTGTGAAAGAATAATTTGTGGTTGTTAATGAAATCCTTTGTTGCATTTTTATACAATTATTTATTTTTATGAAATATTTTGTTGAAGTTTATTTATTTACTATTTATTTATATATAGATAATTCTTGTTTTATTTTTATCTATTTTCTTGACTTATACAGACAAAGTTAATTCTATAATATGAAGTCGGTGATGTTAACAGTTTTTAGTTTATATGCATTTAAGGTCAGTTAAAATAGAGTGAATAATGTCATTTAAAATAAATGGATAGTCGTTTATTCAAGTATACATTTATTTTTATTTTCAATATTTTAAAAATTGTAAATGTTCTATTTTAAAAGCCGAATATTGTGATTTATCAATATCCATGACAATCAGATTTTCCAGTTTCTTTTATATATGAAATAAGTTGAAGGGGTTTTGTCAATGAGACAGCAACCCAATGACAAAAAATCAAAAGACATCTAGAGATCAACATACGGTCTTCAATAATAAAGTGCCTGTTCAATATTTCTAGTGCAAAATTACCCTGTGTGTAGATATGTAATTAATACATATAACAGAGACACTCAAGGATCTGCCACAAACACAAAATTTCTCCAAAAATAAAAACATTAATATTTAACCAGAACCATTGTTAGTTACAACATGTTTTATTATTTTTATTAAATAGGATATGTATGCTTTGTAGATTTTTTCAAGGGTAATAAATTTTGCCAGTCTGCAAAAATAACTTTTGTCTGACTGCAAAAATAACTTTTAAGGTAGTGTAATAGAAGAATGTTGCAAAAAATGTACTCTACTAACTCTCATAGTAGAAATTTATAAATTCCATTATTGATATTAACATTCCTTCTGCATCAGTTTGTGTACAATTAATTGAAGTGTAGCTTAATTTTTTTATAAGGAATAATCCGATGTACTGGGGAAATGCAGCTAATATGATTACAATTAAGGATACTTTCATCAATTTTCTGCCAAAGAGCAAGAAAAGTATTTGATATTAAATACATTTGATAAATGATTGAACTGCAAACTATCAGCCTAAATTACAATAAACAATGCAATATGCATGCTAATTTTTTTTATTAGTCCCCTACCGACAAAGTCGAAGGGGACTTTAGGTTTGCACTCCGTCCGTCTGTCTGTACGTCTGTCTGTCCTTCTGTCAGTCCGGCAAATCAGTTTTCCACACTTTTTTTCTTCAAGCATATTGATTTGATAATTGGTATATAGTTTTATCATGACAACTTACAGACCAAGTTTGAATTTTGTTTCGGTTTGATGATTTTTTGCAGAGTTATGGTCCTTGGACTTTGAAAATTCACTTAAATTATCAGTTTTCTGCACTTTTTATACGGCTGCAAAAAAATTTTGTGGTCGTATATTGGTATGACGTTGGCGTCGTCGTCGTCGTCGTCGTCCGAAGACGCATTAGTTTTCGCACTCTAACTTAAGTTTAAGTGAATGGATCTCTATGAAATTTTACCATAAGGTTCAATACCACAAAAGGAAGGTGGGGATTGATTTTGGGGGTTATGGTACCAACAGTTAAGGAATTAGGGGCCAAAAAGGGACCAAAAATAAGCATTTTCTAGTTTCCAGACAATAACTGTGGAACGGTGTATGGATCTCTCTGAAATTATACTACAAGTTTCCATACCACAAAGGGATGGTTAGGATTTGCTTTTGGGGGTTATGGCTCAAACCGTTTAAGAATTAGGGGCAAAAAAGGGGGAAAAACAAGGTTGTCCTGGTTAATGGACAAATACTTTAGTACAAAACATAATTTAAAGCAGTGTAAGGGAGATAAATCAAATACATCATTGAAATTATCTCCCTTACACTGCTTTTAAATTATGTATAAAGTAATGGTTAATGAACAATTAAGATAATTTAAAACAGTGTAAGGGAGGTAATCCAAATACGTTTTGGTTACTTCCCTTACACTGCTTTTAAATTATGTTTAAAGAAATGCATATTTATAAAGGAAGACCAGTAAAAATATCTGCAAATGTTGCATCTTTTTTTTTTTCAAAAAAAATCCATATGAAAGATTTGACACTATATTTTAAATTCTATTATAAAATAGATTAAGTTAGCACTAAGGTAAATTAAAATGGGTAATTATGGTTGCAAACTCCATTGGAAATTTGAATTGAAATTATGACCATATCTTGAGGGAAAGAATTTTTTAAGGAAAAAAAAGGGGGGGGGGGGGTTTAAAGAAATTGTGGGGGGTCAATTTTTTCTCATTTCAGATTTCAGAAATTAAAAAGAATTATTCTTCAAATATTTTTTTTTTTTTAAATTTCAAATATTGAAAAATTTCAAGAAGTAATCTTTAATTGGACAGTATGGCGCATTAGATTTGTAAAATCTTTGACCACATTTATTTATTTGTTATGCCGAATCTAACAGTGTATTTAGATTTTTAATTTTGGGTCCAGTTTTCAAATTGGTCTACATTAAGGTCCAAAGGGTCCAAAATTAAACTTTGTTTGATTTTAACAAAAATTGAATATATGGGGTTCTTTGATATGATGAATCTAAACATGTATTTAGATTTTTGATTTTTGGCCCAGTTTTCAAGTTGGTCCAAATTGGGGTCCAAAATTAAACTTTGTTTGATTTCAACAAAAATTGAATATATGGGGTTCTTTGATATGATGAATCTAACCATGTATTTAGATTTTTTATTTGTGGACCCCGTTATCAAATTGGTTCATATTGAGGTCAAAAGGGTCCAAAATTAAACTTTGTTTGATTTCATCAAAAATTGAATTATTGGGGTTCTTTGATATGCCAAATCTAACCGTGTTTTTAGATTTTTAATTTTGGGTCCCATTTTTAAATTGGTCTACATTAAGGTCCAAAGGGTCCAAAATTAAATTTAGTTTGATTTTAACAAAAATTGAATTCTTGGGGTACTTTGATATGCTGAATCTAAACATGTGTTTAGATTTTTGATTATGGGACCAGTTTTCAAGTTTGTCCAAGTTGGGGTCCAAAATTAAACTTTGTTTGATTTCAACAAAAATTGAATATATGGGGTTCTTTGATATGATGAATCTAACCATGTATTTAGATTTTTTATTTGTGGACCCCGTTATCAAATTGGTTCATATTGAGGTCAAAAGGGTCCAAAATTAAACTTTGTTTGATTTCATCAAAAATTGAATTATTGGGGTTCTTTGATATGCCAAATCTAACCGTGTTTTTAGATTTTTAATTTTGGGTCCCATTTTTAAATTGGTCTACATTAAGGTCCAAAGGGTCCAAAATTAAATTTAGTTTGATTTTAACAAAAATTGAATTCTTGGGGTACTTTGATATGCTGAATCTAAACATGTGTTTAGATTTTTGATTATGGGACCAGTTTTCAAGTTTGTCCAAGTTGGGGTCCAAAATTAAACTTTGTTTGATTTCAACAAAAATTGAATATATGGGGTTCTTTGATATGCTGAATCTAACCATGTATTTTGATTTTGGACATTGGACCATAATAGGTAAATTAAAAAAATTCAAGTTCTTAGACCACATTCTTTCTATGTCAGAAACCTATGCTGTGTCAAATATTTAATCACAATCCAAATTCAGAGCTGTATCAAGCTTGAATGTTGTGTCCATACTTGCCCCAACTGTTCAGGGTTCGACCTCTGCGGTCGTATCAAGCTGCGCCCTGCGGAGCATTTTATTGTAAAATGTCTTGTTACCTTATATAATCACAGTATTTCGATAATATCAATTATACTCCCACTTACAGAGTGGATGGTATATTGCATTCATCTTGTCTGTCTGTCTGTCTGTCCATCTATAACTTTTCTTCACATATTTATCAGCTTGTGTATTGTGGAATGATTTGATATGTGGTCTGGAACTTTGAAATGATGAGTTGTTTGGTGTTAGCAATTTTTCAGATCTGCTAGGCGGTCACTTCTTGTTATTTGAATTTTTTATTATACCCACAGAGAATAGAATTTTTGGTTAGGTATTACTCAATTTGTATTTCATAAAATTGAGAATGGAAATGGGGAATGTGTCAAAGAGACAACAACCCGACCAAAGAGAAGTAAACACAATGATTTGATATTTGTTCTTGAACTTTCTAATGCTGAGTTGTAATGTGTAAGTTATTCTCAAATTTGCCAACTGGTCACTTACTGTTTGACAATATTTAAATTTTTTATCATACCCACTTAGCATGGAATTTTTGTCAATGTTTTATAATTAGTGAGAATATCACTATATTCTGTACAGCATGGCACGCAACTTTCACATTTTCATGTGGTAATTCAACATTTTGGGTGGTAAATTGCTTCTTTTTTACATTTTAAAAATTAACAGCCATACCCAACAATAGTGATTGAAATTTTGCTATAAAATGTCAATTTCAAAGATGTTGATGTAAATTAAATATCTTTTAGGGTATGACTTTTGTTCCTATCTAATTTAAATAAAATCTATGCATAATTCGAGCATCCTGGTCAATTATACTAATTATGACATGTTTATTATGTCACTTTTACATTATAAGTAACATCTTTGTACTGAACTGATTAGCCTAATTAAGAATGAATGTGAGATTTTCCACATTTTTGGATTAACAAAATTGTATTGTTAAGCTGTGATGTCTTTGAAGTACAATTCTTTTAAATTGACTACTGCAAATTCAGAAATTTTTGCTATATTTTAATTCATGCGAAAATTGTGACGGGATATTTTTTCACGAAAAATAAAAACTTGCAATTTAAATATTGGCAGCATTTTTTGCATGCAGTAGTTTCTTAAATCGTGATATTTTTTTATTTTTGTTTATTGTTTAACAATCACAGTAATAAATGCACTAAAAAATTTCTAAAGGAGTAGGTCCAGTAAGACCCCTTTTTGGCCCCAAAATATAGCATTTATTGGAAAGTAGAATACTTTTGTTACATAGATATGGGCTCTTTTTGACAATACAATGCACATGCATCAGATACTAGCATCATTAATCTATGCAAAACTACTGAAATCTTCACAATTTTAGCATTTGTGCTAATTTAAAGACAGTTTTTGTCTAAAATGAAAGTGGCCACATTTGTTTTCAGTCTTTATATTTAAATATATATTGTATTGGATGATAATACATAACATATGTAAAGGTTGAGACTGAGCATGAATGCGGCCACTTATATTTTAGACAAAAACCATCTGAAAAGTGATATGGCATATTTGAAAGATTTTTCATATTAAAGCTTGAATTTGAGCGTCTTTTGTGACCAAACCAGTTCAAATGTTTTCCATAAACAAATTGAATCGACTAAAGTACACACTTAAGTGTTTAAAAAATGTCAAAAATCTTTCTTCAGATATACTTTGAATTTTAGGCCAAAACTAGCCCTTACCGGACCTTCTCCTTTACAGTATCAGATTTTGAATAATCATTGATGATATAGTAGAAGAAACCATGATGTAGTATAAATATTGTTATAGATGACATTAGTTACAGTTTGAGGTCAAATACCTGCACTTAATGTTTGTATACTTGTAAGTAGATCAGTGACTTCTCGTTACCTGTCCTTACAAAGTTTAGGTTCACTATTTGAACCAGTAAGAAAACCAGCACATTGAATGTATAACATGTTTTTATAATGCCTTGTGTGAAAGTTAATATATCTATAGTTGTAGAGTTGTTATTGTAAGTAGATGAAGTGTTATAGGGTCAACTTGTTTTGTGTAGACATACAGTCTGAAAAGATTTTCTTTGAGTTGGAAGTATTTGGATATTTTTTTTAAAGAAGAATAATACCAAGAAAACAGAATAAACTTTTAACAAATCTGTTAAATAAATGAAAAATAGAGAATTTTAACTGTGATTTATATGGAAGTTAGTTCACCTTGTCCATTCACAACATTTCAATATTCATTTACATCAGAATTCTGAAACAAGTATTTGACACTATTCTTCTTTTCCTCATACTTCTCTGATGTCATATCTAATATTTTTATCTTCTAAAATATTTACCTAATTGTAAGAGTTACGTAGTAACTAGTATTGTTGATTCCTGGTGAAAAGCATCATATCCCTTGT